ACACGCCATGGACACGTCCATGGACCAGTGACACGCCTGGACACGTCATGAAACCATGGACCAGTGACACGCCTGGACACACCATGGACCAGTGACACGCCATGGACACGCCATGGACCAGTGACACGCCTGGACACGTCATGGACCAGTGACACGCCATGGACACATCCATGACCAGTGACACGCCATGGACACGTCATGGACCAGTGACACGCCTGGACACGCCATGGACCAGTGACACGCATGGACCAGTGACAGGCCATGGACCAGTGACACGCCATGACCAGTGACACGCCTGGACACGTCATGGACCAGTGACACGCCTTGACGTGTCCCGGGCGTGTCACTGGTTCATGGCGTGTCCAGGCGTGTCACTGGTCCATGGCGTGTCCAGGCGTGTCACTGGTCCATGGCGTGTCCAGGCGTGTCACTGGTCCATGACGTGTCCAAGGCGTGTCACTGGTCCATGGCGTGTCCGGGCGTATCACTGGTCCATGACGTGTCTGGGCATGTCACTGGTCCATGGCATGTCCAGGCGTGTCACTGGTCCATGACGTGTCTATGGCGTGTCCAGGTGTGTCACTGCTCCGTGACGTGTCCACGGCGTGTCACTGGTCCATGGCGTGTCCAGGCGTGTCACTGGTCCATGACGTGTCTGGGTGTGAGCAGCCTGGACACGCCATGGACCAGTGACACGCCATGGACCAGTGACACATCATGGACCAGTGACACGCCTGGACACGCCACGGACCAATGACACGCTTGGACACGCCACGCCTGGACACGCCATGGACCAGTGACACGCCACGCCGTGTCACTGGTCCATGGCGTGTCCGGGCGTGTCACTGGTCCATGGCGTGTCCGGGCGTGTCACTGGTCCATGGCGTGTACGGGCGTGTCACTGGTCCATGGCGTGTCCGGGCGTGTCACTGGTCCATGCCGTGTCACTGGTCCATGGCGTGTCACTGGTCCATGGCGTGTCCAGGCGTGTCACTGGTCCATGGCGTGTCCAGGCGTGTCACTGCTCCGTGACGTGTCCACGGTGTGTCACAGGTCCATGGCGTGTCACTGGTCCATGGCGTGTCACTGGTCCATGGCGTGTCCGGGCGTGTCACTGGTCCATGGCGTGTCCAGGCGTGTCACTGGTCCATGACGTGTCCACGGTGTGTCACAGGTCCATGACGTGTCCATAGCGTGTCACTGGTCCACGGCGTGTCACTGGTCCATGGCTTGTCACTGGTCCATGGCGTGTCACTGGTCCATGACGTGTCCGGGCGTGTCACTGGTCCATGACGTGTCCACAACGTGTCACTGGTCCATGGCATGTCCGGGCGTGTCACTGGTCCATGACGTGTCCATGGCGTGTCACTGGTCCATGTCGTGTCCAGGCATGTCACTGGTCCATGACGTGTCCACGGCGTGTCCAGGTGTGAGCAGCCCGGACACGTCATGGACCAGTGAGTTGCCTGGACACGCCATGGACCAGTGACACGCCATGGACCAGTGACACGCCTGGACACGTCATGGACCAGTGACACGCCATGGACACGTCATGGACCAGTGACACGCCATGGACACGTCATGGACCAGTGACACGCCTGGACACGCCATGGACCAATGAAACGCCATCGACCAGTGACACGCCTGGACACGCCATGGACCAGTGACACGCCATGGACACATCATGGACCAGTGACACGCCATGGACACGTCATGGACCAGTGACACGCCTGGACACGCCATGGACCAGTGAAACGCCATGGACCAGTGACACGCCTGGACACGCCATGGACCAGTGACACGCCTGGACACGCCATGGACCAGTGACACGCCTGGACACGTCATAGACCAGTGACACGCCATGGACACATCATGGACCAGTGACACGCCATGGACACGTCATGGACCAGTGACACGCCTGGACACGCCATGGACCAGTGACACGCCATGGACCAGTGACAGGCCATGGACCAGTGACACGCCATGGACCAGTGACACGCCTGGACACGTCATGGACCAGTGACACGCCTTGACGTGTCCGGGCGTGTCACTGGTTCATGGCGTGTCCAGGCGTGTCACTGGTCCATGGCGTGTCCAGGCGTGTCACTGGTCCATGGCGTGTCCAGGCGTGTCACTGGTCCATGACGTGTCCAAGGCGTGTCACTGGTCCATGGCGTGTCCGGGCGTATCACTGGTCCATGACGTGTCTGGGCATGTCACTGGTCCATGGCATGTCCAGGCGTGTCACTGGTCCATGACGTGTCTATGGCGTGTCCAGGTGTGTCACTGCTCCGTGACGTGTCCACGGCGTGTCACTGGTCCATGGCGTGTCCAGGCGTGTCACTGGTCCATGACGTGTCTGGGTGTGAGCAGCCTGGACACGCCATGGATCAGTGACACGCCATGGACCAGTGACACATCATGGACCAGTGACACGCCACGGACCAATGACACGCCCGGACACGCCATGGACCAATGACACGCCTGGACACGCCATGGACCAGTGACACGCCTGGACACGTCATGGACCAGTGACACGTCATGGACCAGTGACACGCCATGGACCAGTGACACGTCATGGACCAGTGACACGCCATGGACCAGTGACACGCCATGGACCAGTGACACGTCATGGACCAGTGACACGCCATGGACCAGTGACACATCATGGACCAGTGACACGCCATGGACCAGTTACACGCCATGGACACTTCATGGACCAGTGACACGCCGTAAACACGCCATGGACCAGTGACACGCCTGGACACGTCATGGACCAGTGACACGTCATGGACCAGTGACACGCCATGGACCAGTGACACACCTTAGACCAGTGTCACACCTGGACACGCCTTAGACCAGTGACACACCTGGACACGCCTTAGACCAGTGACACACCTGGTGGGGAAGTGATTAGGAGTGGGCAAAATATATCGTAGACAATAATTTCGTGAACGCCAATTTGAAGATATGCTTTATTGTATTATCTTTTTTATTTTCCAATACATATTACAATTAGAGAAGGAAAGATGCCCATTGGTCTAATGTGTGCCTAAAAAGCCAATCACTGCTTTATTTGTACATTTCAGTAAATATTGAGCCTTTTTGGATGTGTTTTTTCTGTGTTTCTTGAATCCCATTGGTCTAATGTGTGCCTAAAAAGCCAATCACTGCTTATATATGTTAATATATGTTAGTGCATGTTTTGCAAAGATGTGTGTAGCACTTCAGAAAATAAAAAGCTTCATTTTTGATCTACACTGTCTCTTATCTATAGATTCCATGGCAAGCAAAACATTGCAGATCATTTTGTGTAACCATTTTTTATTTTAAAGATATAGTGACAATGTCGTTATCGGGAGTTGGGTATAATTTATCAAGATATTTATTTTTGTCCATATCGCCCACCCCTAGATGTGATGCATGCTTGCAGATTGGCAGTTGAGTTCTGGTGGATACAGATATAGTTTGTGTGTGATTGACACGTCTCTGTTGGTAAGAGGCAGTTATGTCTGTAAACCTTTTGTTGCTTGATCTCATTTTCTTTTAGAATGGAGTGATTGTAGATGTACCATCTATTTAAGTGCAGGATAGAGACGGTGAAGCCAGTTGAAACTAGGAATAACTGGAATTCAGTGAAGGTATCAAGGGAATACATGACAAAGTTTGGCAGTAGACTGAAGAATAAGCTCTACACGTGTTTGCAGAGACAATTCAAACTCTTAAAAAAGCAATCTTCCATAGATTATTGATTATTATAATGATGTGCCTCAGTCTCTTTGGCCTCATTATCCATGTGTCCTTTCAGAACAGGTTATCCACAGTGTATGTGTGTGCGGACCAGGCCTCACAGACCATGTGTCCTTTCAAACCAGGTTATACACAGTGTATGTGTGGGTTGACCTGGCCTTACACACCATGTGTCCTTTCAAACCAGGTTATACACAGTGTATGTGTGTGTTGACCTGGCCTTACACACCATGTGTCCTTTCAAACCAGGTTATACACAGTGTATGTGTGTGCGGACCAGGCCTCACAGACCATGTGTCCTTTCAAACCAGGTTATACACAGTGTATGTGTGTGCGGACCAGGCCTCACAGACCATGTGTCCTTTCAAACCAGGTTATACATAGTGTGTGTGTGTATGATGACATCACTGACCTTGTAAACCACACTGTCCTTATAGACCGTGTTTTTGAAAAGTCTTTACAAACCCCTGAAAAGTCTTGAAAACAGTCATTTTTTATATCTCAGTGCAGCAAAGGAAATCTTTAAATTTTAAGCCGTGTATAGGTTCTGTGATTTTTTTCATGATCATTGATATGATTTTTGAGGCTCTAGCACCACGGGAACCCAGTGTCCCCGTATACCTATGTACAGTCTGGTTTAAAGGGATTTTAGAAAAAATGTCCTTACAACGTCTCAAACGGGTGTGTGTGTGTGTGTGTGTGTGTGTGTGTGTGTGTGTGTGTGTGTGTGTGTGTGTGTGTGTGTGTGTGTGTGTGTGTGTGTGTGTGTGTGTGTGTGTGTGTGTGTGTGTGTGTGTGTGTGTGTGTGTGTGTGTGTGTGTGTATATGAGTGTTCATGAGCGCGTGTGTGTTTGTCTGTGGTCTGGGGGAGGGGTCTTGGGTCGGCGGGATTGTTTGAAAGCACTTTGTGTTGCATCTTTTGTATGAAAAGCGCTTTATAAATCAAATTTGATTGATTGATTGATTGATTAAAAATGCGCTGCTCCCCCGGAGCTTTATATTTGCTCAAAAAATCATCTTGCAAACCCCTCCCAGGGGTTCCCGCGACCCCCCGGGGGGTCGGGACCCCCACTTTGGGAACCTCTGATATAATAGACATACAGCCATTGGTCCATCACAAGCACAAGTTAGAAAAGTTCTGTATGAAATGTTTATTAGTAAGAGGGTAAAAACCAAAAACTATTGTGTCATATGGGCTGGAAGTAAGTGATTAGTTGTGCTTTAATTGATTAACCACTTTCTGCTCTGGATCAAGTGCTAAAGCTGCCTGTTCCATTTGAAAACCTTATTTTAATGCGTTCAAAATAGAGTTTATCAATGCATCTGGTGAACGGGATTTACCAGTGAGAGTGACGTCGCTCCTCTGTTCGCTGATGAAGGCGGAGAGTGTGTCGATCTGTTCATCCAGCTCCACAAACGAGCTCTTTCCTGAACGCAGAAAAAAAAAAAAAGGTAGTCCACTGTAATAAATGATTAAATAGGAGGTAAGAATTGCCTTGAAACGAGTGGTTTTCATCTTAATTTGTGAACATTCTGACCGTGTTAAAACACGATTTGCCAATGGGACAAAGCCATTTAGTCCTATTTCAATAATTGTTTCTTTATTTTCTCACTCCAAAAGGAGACAATTCTTGTATCTTTTAAAAACAGATAATTTAGCTTGTTCCATTGGCAAAGCTAGAAGCTACAAGGTACAATGTAAAAGAGATCAGATATTTTTTCTTATGGTCCGTTGTAAGTAACAGGAAGTGACAAACTAGGGATTTGTATTATTAGTAAATGTGTATCCTGTTCTTCAAATATTATATACATGAAAGTTTAATAAGAGTGGAGAAACACTGCCCCCAAGTGGAGAACATTTATTTTGACAGGAAGACACAGGCATCTATCTATCTATCTATCTATCTATGGGGGATCTATCTATCTATCTATGGGGATCTATCTATCTATCTATTTATCTATCTATGGGGATCTATCTATCTATCTATTTATCTATCTATGGGGGATCTATCTATCAGTACTACTACTTTATCTATAGCCAGGTTAATTTAAAGCTCGGTGCTGAGAGCTGATGAGTAAAGCAGCTGTACTTTATCTTCTCTGTCTGAAAAAGCCTATGTCAAGTCTGTCCTCACCTGTGTGACTGAGTGTGGTGAGCCATGGGGCCTGCGTGGCGTGGTGAGGCTGTCTCCTGCGTACCACACAGCGCCCCCTGGAGTCCTGCACCAGAGGCTGCAGACAGCGGCCACAGCGCGAGGTCCCGGGCCGACAGAAGTGCCTCCCCAAACGGGCGCAGTCCAGAGCACGTGGGCACAGGGACAAGTCTGAGAGGGAGGAGAGAGACACAATACATAAAAAACTTTTAAGGACATATATTATTTTTTGCACACAAAACATACGCAAAACACACATGCACACACAAAAAACACACACGCACGCAAATCACGCACGCACGCACGGAAAACACACAGAGGTTGGGGAACACTGCTTTACACCATGATAAGGTGGTTTGCATCTATTTCTTATTTTATTTTATGTAATAATTATTTATTTAAGCATTTACATCTAAAAAACATAGCAGCTACTTGTACTGTATATTTTGTGTGCTCTTACTAAAGCATGCGCGCTGCAACATTGAAATTTCCCCACTGTGGAACAAAAAGGATCTCTTATGTTATCTTATCTCATTTTCCATCCATCCATTTTCTTCCGCTTCATCTGTCGTCGGATCGCGGTGGTTTTATTTTTTATGGAAGAGATTTGACAATCTGGTAATCAGAGCTGCCACCCAAGTCTCATAGAACCAGTCCCTCGCTGATCCTCCTGCAGGTGGTGGGTCAACAGGCTTCTCAATCATTGTCAAGATGGCCTTGGTCTTTCAGCGGGGGCTCCAGGCAATGTGGGGTTAAGTGTCTTGCCCAGGGACACAGTGGGAGCAGGTGACATGGGTCATGGTGGGCTCGAACCCATGACCATTAGGTCCAAAGATCAGTGCTCTCCCAACTGAGCTACGGTTGCCCCCAGTATGTTAGTTAGTTAGTAGACCCCCAGTAGGTTAGTATAGACTAACCTAAACTAATCCATTTCTGGGTTGGGGGGGTGGCCAGAGATGCCACCCAGTACACAGAGCACCAGCCCCTCACTGATCCTCCTGCAGGTGGTGAGTCCACAGAAGCTGAGATCTTTCAGTGGGAGCTTCAGGCAAAGTGGGGTTAAGTGTCTTGCCTAAGGACACAACGACAGCAGTCATCAGTGGGAGTCGTGAAGTAGGTCTTGTGGTGGGCTCGAACCCACGACCTTCAGGCTCAAAGGCCAGTGCTCTACCAACTGAGCTACTGTCGCCCTAGACAGTATATAGTATATATATAGACTAACCTACTGCAAACAAAAGCATGGATAAGAATCTCCAAGTCTGTTCAAATCCTCTCCTTCCCACTGGTTCTATAAGAGCACCTTTTCTTCACCAGCTGTAAAACTGTGATATTTACCACAAGGACTATTCCAAAGCAATCATTTTTAAAACCATGAAAACCTTTGGATCGTCTTTTGAAAGTCTCTCAGATGTTGATAATCTCCCTGCTCTTTATTTGCAGAAGAAACCAACGTCATGTCACCCTCACGTTGTTGGAACAAATGAATAATGTGACATTTCGGAGAATAGCTGACGAGTCTCAGAAAGCCACCGCTGGACAAATGTCACAGGGAAAAATTCCAAAAGAAATGCCAAACGCTCAGAGCTGCAATCACAGAGAAACAAAGTGCACGTTTTCTCACAGAGAGGGTTGGGTAAAAATGGATTTCGTTCACATTTAAATTCAATTATAATTTTTCAAAAAACTTACAAATATATTTCTTTAGCATAAAATCTCTAACTTTTATATAGATGAAATATAGAGCATAATATTAGAGAAACATTTTAGAAACATCTAAAACATTTGCTTTTCTTGTTTTCATGATGACGCAGATCAGTGGTGTCAAACTGATTTTGTCTATTTTTTGATTCTACTGATCTACTTTAGTTAGTTAGTTTGCTAAGTTTGCTAAGATAATTTCAGGTTAATTATTGCTTATTTAATTTAATTTAGGTCACAAGGTTAAATAGGGCTATGGGGGGAGGGCGCAGCGTAGAGGCGTTTTGGGCATAAGGTTTTTTACCAGCGAGAGGAGAGGCTGCAGCTCTGCATGTTTGCCATTTGCTTGGAGAATAAACCCACCTAAAATGCAATTTTGTTTGGACATTTCGTTTTCTCTACCCTGCGTAAAGCCAACCTGAAAAAGCCTTAGTGGCCTTTTGATTTGTTTTGGTTTAAGTTGGACATGGTTTAAGTTATGGACAAATCCCCGCTACAGTCGGACCAGAAGACAAAAAAATGTGTTAGTTTTTATCATTGAACTTGAATTTAACCTGAGTTTGAATATGGTTTTCTGGTGTTTTTCCGAACAAAATGGAAATCAGTTATTGTTTGTTTGAACTGAACGATAATGGAACTGAAGATAAATAAAGCTTATCATTTTAGACAAATAGGATAAGATGAAGAGACGGCCGATTTAGAACTCAGCTTTACTTCCAGAGTATTGTTAACATTTTCTTCAGCGTTTCGTCACAAATCTCAGCAGAAAATAACAATTGGAAATGTTAAAAAGCCACCAAGAAAAGTCATGACTGGTGCAAAAAGGCCCTCAGGCAGACCGACAGAAGTGAGGCTGTCAATCTGAGCCCCTCCCACCACCATTCATTCACACACGAGACTTGTACCAGACGGAAGTGTCTTGCCAAAGGGCACAGAGATAGTTTTTTATTTTGACTGTAAGAAGAGGAGTGTTGTCAGTTTCATATCTGAACACAACGCAGCGATAAGACGAGGAAAGGAGCAGATGCCTTCACGGAGTCAGAGGTCTGTGTGAAGAGGAGAACTTTGTCACCACGGAAACAAGAGGCAGTGGTTTCCTCTGCGACGCTCCATGGTAACCGGAGGAGCAGTGACGTCATTCGGATGAGTCACCGATGCCAACGAGGATGAACTGGACCAGGACTAGACCCGGGACTGAGCCAGGACTGGACCAGGACTGAACCAGGACCGGACCAGGATAGAGCCAGGACTGGACCAAGACAGAGCCAGGACTGGACCAGGACAGAGCCAGGACCAGGACAGAGCCAGGACAGAGCCAGGACAGGACCAGGACAGAGCCAGGACTGGACCAGGACTGGACCAAGACCACAGCTGGACCAGGACTGAACCAGGACCGAACCAGGACTGAATTAGGTCTGGAACTGAACCAGGACTTAAACAGGACTGAGCAGAGACTAAACCAGGGCTGAACCTGGAGCGAACAAGTTGGTTTCTACAACCATCTTGTTTATTCATATTTATACATTACAGACTGTTGTGTGTAATAAAGAACCATCTCTTCACAAGTGACTGGTGCTAATTACATTTCTCAAACTAATAATTTTACAAAGCAGAGACAAATGTTGTAATTTTCAATCTGAACAAAGTCTGTTTCTAATGCACAAAGGAAATGACATCTTATGATTTGAGTTTATGAGTTTATAATGAGTTTCAACCCGTCTCTGTTTTAAATTATTACTTGGGCTCTGGAGATTAGACTTCTTGCTTTTAGATCATTTTCCATAAATAGTAAGATGATAGACAGTTGTTAAATTGTTAATACATCATGATCATCAGTCTAGTGAATCCTAATTTGAACAGTACATCGCACATGTTGCTGCTCTTTGCTACAGTGATGATACATGAACAATGAGAGTGAAATGTCCAGAAGCAGAGGAACTTCTGACACTGGACTAAAACTGAACTAAAAATATGACTTAAGCGATATTGAGAGATATTCAGAGGCAGAAAGTAACGTCACCAAATTCTTATGTTCCAGTGATAAACCTTTTTCTGTTTTTGATTAGATTGTCTAATCTCAAATCTGCCATTTATAGAGAAAGTCCTTGAAAAGTTGTCTACCTTACCAAACTTCAAATCATTCACATTAGTCCAGTCCTCAGGTCTCTGCACTGGCTTCCTATAGCTCAGAGAATAAACTTTAAAGCAGCGCTATTTGTGTAAAAGTCTCTCCTTGGCCTCGCACCAAAGTACATCTGTGACATGTTAGTCCCATATGAACCAACTCGGACTCTGAGGAGCACAGGGACTAGCCTCCTGCTGGTGCCTAGAGTCAGAATTAAACATTTCAGATTAATGCTTACAGGCCTCCTCTCTGACAATGTTTAAATCCAGGTTAAAAACAGTTATGTTTAGCTGCATACAACTGAGGGATTTTATCTTAATGTACTGTGATTATGATTTAGATTCCTTGTGTGATTATTAATCATGTTAATGCATTTTGCGATTTGTTGAGCACTTTTAGTTGTCTTGGTATGAACTGTGCTATACTAATACACTTGCCTTGCCTTTGGACACATCCTTAACCTTTCACTTCATACACAATGGTGATAAACTACAACATTATTCACAGTTACGGGGCAGACTATCAGAAGAAGCGAGGCAACCAGTATATGCCCTCCTACAGTACCACCACCACAGCAGACTTAGACTAGGCAAAGTGTCTCACCTAAACACAACAATATTTCAGTACTCCCATCACCATACTAACCAGGCCTGCCACATTTAGGTTCTGAGGTCTACCGGGATCAGGGTTTCACATTGAGGTATCACCACAAGAAAACCTTAGTCTGCTATAGAGCTTTGACCAATGATTATATTAGTGATTAAATGTATATTGATTATCAAGTTCTGGGGTTACATATCATTTGAAATGAAGGCTGTAACAATATCAGGTTTTGCTATAGTTAAAATGTACAGGTACACTGCCTTTATTAAAAGTAATTCTGAGTTTTGTTGTAGGCTATTTTATAGTACTGTGAGAATAACAACTGCAGATTAGATGAGACTTTATTTTAAGTTTTGTTGGATTGAAATGCACTTTTGAAGACTTACAATAACTGTCAACTTCCCTGACACTCCCTTCACTTGTGGAGAACATTTCTCTAGAGTGTGAGATAATAAAACCCTTCATTTGAGGTCTAAAATTAACCAGTGACGCTCCAGACAAAGAAACGTGCTTCTGACGACTACCAGACATTTTACCACAGACACTGATGAGAGAGAATGCAGCATGCTCTCAGAATGAAATCACTTTGGCCAAATACCAGTGGTCATTTCAATACAATTCCAAAGCACAAGCCGACAAAAGCTCCAGCGGTTAATGAAAAAAAGCCATTATTTGATAATGGATTAAAATAATTAAATGTGTTTTGGCCACTGGTCTTTCTGCGTCGTTCAAGCAGATGGAATTGTATTTTCGATGAGAAATTAACCCACAAACTCCAAAGAGCACCTGGGCGGCAGTCTATGCAGTGCTCCCTAAACTTTGCTGTAGCTGCCTTTATTGTTTTTTTGTTTGGCATTTTTTGCAAGACTAAAACAAAATGTAAATAAAATAAAAGTGATCATAAAGGTAACTAGACTTAAAGTACATACATTGGGGGTCGAGATTTGCCGCAGCAGGGCCCACTTTCTGTAACTCTCTCCCACAACTCACTTCTAATCACTTATGTTGCTAAATTATTTTATTTTATTTTTTTGATCAAAAATTAAAGATGGATGCAAACTTTCAATCCTGTATACGTCTATGCTGTTGACACTCTTAGCTTACTAACATTTACTATTGTCTTTTGTTTGCTATGTCTGTTGACGGCAAATGTACACCTATAGCCCAGGGACGACATTTCAAATCAAGTGTTGCTCAACTCGTCAGTTCACAGAAATGTTCATTAAAGTGCATTGTCCCTGTTCAAATAAATCAATAAAACAAGACAGTAATCAAAGAGAAAGCCCAAGAACCCACAGCTGACAAATAGATCATAAACAAAGCCGATATCCATCAACACGTTTGTACATGTCCAATAAAGCAATCATACTATTCACAGTTTGAATACAAATTTCCTGATAATACAGTCAGTCAAAAACATTTATGGACATTGGTCATCCTGCTCCCTGTGGACCAATGGCTCCTATGTGTTTGTTAGTGCATTTCCTGTGTTCAAACTGTTTGATTATCTGATCTGTTTTCAGTGAATCGACAACTTTGGATAGTTTAGAAGTCCTCCAAAAGACTGTTGTTGTGATTTAGGTCCATTTAAAAATAAATGTAATTAATATGAGTTAATTAATGAGTGTGCATTAAGATCAGAGGTGGTTAGTAACCCTGCTTCAGTCATTTGTGACTTACAATAACAAGCAATGCGTAATTTACAAATGCACAGATTAATAGAGTAACTTTGTGACTTCTGTCTGTTGAATAGTGTCTGTTTGGAAATCGAGGATAATAAAGTAGATTTGTTCACTTTTCATTGATAAAAAATAGAATACATAAATAAATAATAAAAAGCCACACAAAAAATCTAACACGTATTTTAGTTTGACTCTGATCATATCAGATTAAAAGACAGCAATCAAAATACTTAAATAACTATGTTCTCCAGATACTTTCAGTCTATGGTTCTCCAGCATCAGCCCCGCGGGGAACACGCACCTGTCAGTTCGCAGCCCAGCGGCGCCAGAGCCGACAACAACAGCAGCATCATCGTGGCCCTCATCCTGGATCAGCGGGGGAGATGCTATTCATTCCTCCATCAGCAGCGCTCTGAACCCGGGGAGAGAGAGCAGACACACGGCGGAAACACTGGACACAGAGACGGAGGAGACAGAGGAGAAAGCTGCCGTGACCACAGCTCACTCTGCATCGGATTGAAGCAACACGACTGCACGAGAGGAGGGGCGCGCACCAGTGACGTCAGCATTGAAAAACCCTGAATGAACTGAAAAACATTTTTTTTTAAATGAAAAAAAAATACACATCACTAAGCATAAACCTTCATATTTCATTGCGAAATTTCCATCTGTTATTTTCTGTCGCCAAATCAATGATGGAATGATGGAGACACTGCATTTTTTTGTGTGTGCATTTTTTTATCGTAGGTTTTAAGCCCCATTCACAAAAATCAGCAGCGCAGGGCTCAATAGGTTTCATAATGATGACATATGAGGGCTGTTGTCATAGTAATGAACTCTTTAGGGGCCAAAGTAGTAAAGTAATCACCAACGTTTGTCTGTCTGTTTTTTGTTAGTTTGCCTGTTTGCTACATAACTCAAAAGAAATGTGTTTACTGTATGAATAATGTATTTAAAAAAAATAAAGTACTGCACCTCTTGGCATAGGTACTTTCGCTGCGAGTGCCTTGTCCAACCCCTTTTCAAACTGTATTTTTCCAAATTAAACTTCTGAATCTTCTGAAATTTCTAAAATATGTGTCTCTTATTTCCGTTATTGATTTTCTAACTCTCTATTTCTTATAAAGTGTATTTTTTGTCTTTTTTACATAACTTTATAGAGAACATATTGTTTGAATGGATAAAAGCGTCCTCGAAATGTGCCATGCATTCATTCAATGATAAATGAATTTATCCATCGTTGAGAACAAAAATAGAAAGGTCAATATGACCTCAATTTGAGCAAGACAAAAAACAGACAGCTGTAGTAATGAGACATAGACCATCTGATATATTTTCATGTTGTTGCTGGTCTAAATGGGAATATAAATCAAATTGGAGTCTGTACACAGAGGATTATATTCCTCAATTAATAAAACGTACCTCAACGATTCGTTGAGATAAAACTAAAAGCCGTTCCTGTTCACCCGCTGTAGAATACTGCCACCTAACGGCCGCACTCTCACACTACAGGTCTTTACATGAAAGTATCAGTAGGAGGCGACACACAGAAGAGACAGCAACAAAACCAGCTCATGAGTAAGCGTGCAGTAAAGAGCCAGGCTAAGTTTTACACACATTTACTTTCATTTGCTTTAATTTTCTGACAGTTGCAGCGCATAAAGGCAGCGGGAATCCAGTATTACAGGACTTTATCTGAAGCATCTGTAGCTGGTCTTCATTCTAAACACTGTCGCTGTGCTGTGGAGCAGCGGAGGCGCAGCCGCCGGAGCCCCCGGAGCCCCCGGAGCCCCCGGAGCTGTGTCCTGATGTGAGGTGCACTGGTCCACAGGAGGGATGCTGGACGCTGACTCTTTTCCCTTGGTCCCTCCGGTCCCCCCGGTGGCCCAGGAGCAGGTGGTAGAATGTGGACCTAACAAACTCGGGGACATATTCACTTTCGTGTCTCAGGGAAGCTTCTCTGAGGCGGTGCCGCCTCCGCGCAAGAAGAACCTGAAGAGATACGCGCGGAAGTTCACTGTTGAAGGTAAAAGACCTCTTTATTTTGCGTCCCCAGGCCAGCTGAGAGACAGGCTCCTGCCAGTGTGCTGGGTCTTCCCCAGAGTCTCCTCCTGAGACTTGACCTCATTGAGGACAGAGCCGCCTCAGCTGGCTCCTCTTGGCGTCGAGCAGCGGCGCTACTCCGGGCTCCTCTCGTGTTACTGAGCTCCTTACCCTACCTCGAATGTCCATTCACTCTGCAAAGTTCTTTCAGAGTGGCTGGCTCATGTGGGAACGTAAATCAAGAGCTTTGATTGCAGACGCTGCTCCCTTCACCACATACAGTGACTACATCACTGCACACGCTGCACAGATGTGTCTGTCAATCTCACGCTCCATCTTTCCCTCACTCTTGAGAGACTTTGTACTGAACTGTGATGTCTCTGCTCTAAACCTGTGTACATCTGTGTAAATCTGTGTAAACTTGTGTAAACTTGTGTAAACCTGTGTACACCTGTGTAAACCTGTTAACACCTGTAAACTGAATTTCTGCATTGTTAGATCAACAAAGTATATCTTCTTCTTCCTTCTCAGAGGGGAAGTTGTTCTACGTGGGCGTGAGGCGGGAGGAGAAGCGCGAGGTGGTGATGGACCCGGAGAGGAAGCGGCAGATCTTCCTCCAGTGTCACTTCAATGATGTGGGAGGGCATCTGGGCCAAAAGAAGACTGTGCACAGAATCCAGAGCCGCTTCTACTGGCTCGGCATCGTGCGAGACGTGGTCGACTGGGTACACTGCATTTAGACAAGACGCACTGTGCTTTTGACTGCTGTATAATCCAACACCAGTTTAACTTGTTAAATCTCAATATTGATCTGAAACTATTTTCATGTTTAACTATTTATAACAAATGTGGTCGACTATAAACCTGCTCAGTCGATGGAATAGTCGACTAAAAATGGAGGTGCGGACAAAGCTCCCAAACCTATGAATTACAAGTGAAAGTCTTTTTTTTTTTTTTTTTTTTTTTTTTTTTTTCAAACTTTATTTATAGTTTAAGGCACATAATAAACAGTAGTGCAATGTACACTATAAAGAACAATGCCAATACAAAAACGAGAAAACAAAAAATAAAACATTCATAAGCAATCATAAAAATTAGAGTGAATTCCAATACAAAAACAAACAAACAAACAGGTGATCAGAAATATCCACATTCAGCATATCAGTGGCAACCAAGAGTATAAAAAATGAGATATCAGTCTGGCACGAAAGGAAAATCTAGATCTTTCAGCAAAGTGAACAAGGGGCTCCAAATTTCAGAAAACTTATCATTAGAACATCTTACAATTAAACGGATTTTTTCCAATTTGAGGAAATACAGTAAATCCCTAATCCAGTGAATATGAGATGGTGATGTTGGGCTTTTCCACTTGAGCAATATTAATCTACGAGCAAGAAGACTCATAAAAGCTATTGATAATTTTTGATTGGATGTTAAAGAGAGCCGAGCCGGTGTAACACCAAAAAGAGCAGTAAATGGGTTTGGGTCAATCTTTTTACCCACCACCCCTGACATTATTGTAAACACCTCAGTCCAGTAATTTAACAGCTGTGGACAGAGCCAGAAGGCATGTATTAGATCAGATGATGAATGTTGACATCGGTCACATGAGGGTGATATATTTGGGTATATTTTGGCTAGGCGAGATTTAGTATAATAAATACGGTGCAAAAGCTTACATTGAATAAGGCTATGCCCAGCACAGATGGAAGATTTGTGGACAAGTGACAAAATTTGAGACCAAAGGTCATCGGATATAATTTCGCCCAGATCCTCCTGCCAAAGGCTTCTTATGTTCACCGTGCTCTGTGAGTGCACAGAAGTAATTTGATTATACGTTATAGAAATCACCCCCTTTAGAGTAGGAATAGGTAATAAAAAAGTGTCAAGGGGTGATTCTTGTGGAGCATTAGGAAATGTTGAAAAACTACTATGTACAAAGCTACGTACTTGCAAATATCGAAAAAAATGACTACGAGGCAGGTCGTATTTTTCAACAAGTTGTTGAAAAGAGGCAAAAATATCATCAATAAACATATCCCTAATTGTTTTAATGCCTAGTCTTGACCAAAGATTAAAGGCAGAGTCATTAAGAGAAGGTAGAAAAACATGATTAGAGGAAAGTGGGGCATTTAAAGAGAGAGACTGCAAGCCGATGAATCGTCTGAACTGGTGCCATATCTTCAAAGACGATTTAACAATTTTATTGCAGGTATAAGGAGTTATTGAAGATGAAATAGGAGAATGAAGCAAGGCTAAAAGAGAAGATGGTTTAGTGGACCTGGCTTCCATGACAAGCCAAGCGTGAGAATTTGGAACATCAGAATGAAGCCAATATCTAAATATTCTAATATTGCATGACCAATAATAAAATTTAAAATTTGGCAGGGCCATGCCCCCTAATTTTTTTGATCTCTGTAGATGTTGAATGCTCAATCGTGACACCTTATTATTCCAAATAAAATTGCGGATAATAATATCAATTTTCTTAAAAAAGGATTGAGTTAGAAAAATTGGTATTAATTGGAATAAATATAAAAAGCGGGGAAGGATATTCATTTTGATGCAATTTATGCGAGCAACCAAAGAAAGCCCCAAAATTGACCAGCGATCCAAATCCTCTTTGACACGCAACAGTAAAGGAGAAAAATTGGCTCCAAAAAGATCCTCAAATCTTTGAGTGACCTGGACACCTAGGTAGGTAAATTGATGAGTGATTTTAAACGGTAGAGTATTAATGAGGTTACATTCAGAGACATTGAGAGGAAAGAACTCACTTTTAGTTAAGTTTAATTTATAACCGGAAATCCGTCCAAATACCTGTAGCGTATTTAAAGCTGCTGGAATAGAAGTATCCAAATCACTTAAATACAAAAGTAAATCGTCTGCGTACAAAGACACTTTGTTTCCTATGCCATTCCTAATAATCCCACTAATCTCCAAATTCGATCTGAGCGCGATGGCAACAAGTGAAAGTCTAAAAGTTAGACTATATTATCAACTGTATTTCCTCTGTATATTAAGTGATAGTAACACATGTCCACGGTGAGGGTATATAATCCCTGGTGAATGTGTGTGTCCAGATCAAAGTGTGTGAGACGTGCCGCGGTGCAGACAGGAGTAAGATTCTGTCGAGAGCCACGAGGCTGCTGCGTGTGGCCGCTCCCTGGGACTTCATCACCGCCCTCCTCTTAGGTATTTCTCCTTCTGTATGTAATTAGTAATAGATAGATCCAATCAAATCCACTTTATTGATATAGAACATTTCATATAGCAGTTTCCAAAGTGCTGTACAACAACAACTACAACCAAAATATAGAAGTAAAAATGGCAACAAATAAATAAATACACACAGAGGACCACACTACTCACGCAGTGTTAAACGCCAGAGAATAAAAGTGGGTCTTACATGCGATAGATACTTTATTGATCCCTGTAGGAGACATTCAGGTGTCCAGTCCAGTCCAGTCCAGTCCAGTTTATTTATGAAGCACTAAAAAAATGTTCAAGGTTGACCAAAATGCTGTACATAAAAAGACATACAAAAATATACAATTAGAAAGTACAACGCATTGGCAAAAACACACTATTTACTGCCAAAAATCAATTCAAAGTGAATTAAAAGCCAATGAGAAGAAGTGAGTCTAAAGACGAGACTTAAACACATGAGTTCCATAATTTAGGACCAACAACCGAAAAAGCACAATTTCCTCTGAGTTTCCGGCAGCAGAATCACTTCCATACAAACACATATTTGTGCACGTTCATAAATTATAAACGTTTCTTCCTAACTGACAGAGTGCACATTTCATACATATCTGTTGTACAGTCTTATAGCTGAAGGAACAAGGATCTCTGATAACAGTATATATATAAACGTTATATAAGCCTGTTGCTACGGTTACTCCTCTGAGCGGCCATAGTGTCATGCAGAGGGTGTCTGGAGTTACTCAGGCTGTTGAATTTGCCAACACAGATCTGAGAATAAAACGGTTCAAACACAAGAAATGCAATTATATAAAAAACACATAGAGCCATTGGTCCATAAGGGGCAGAGACCAAGGTCCAGAAATAATCATGTAGTAATAATAATAATAATAGCGGGTAAAGTGAGTTGTGGATTATTAATATTATTATCATTATCAGAAGAGGTGAATAGCACATGTACAGACTGAGCCGTTCTCATTAGTCTGACAGCAGCAGGAAGGAAGGAAAAGCTGCATATTTAACACGTGTCCATTCAAACATGAGCGATGTGTGTTTCCCGGTTGTGGTCAGGTCCGTTCCCGGTGTCTGCCCTGGGACACTCTCACCTCCTCCTCCTCCTCGATCACTTCAGTAAATGGCCTGAAGCGTTCCCTCTGCAGAGACCGGACCCAGAGGGAGTGGCCCGCGGCGTGTCCTCCTGCGTCTACAGGTACAACAGCAAATATGGATGTATCTAAAATCTGCTTTACAACCACATTTTGACCCTGATCATATCTTACTACACGCTAGATCAGGGGTCTCCAAGGGAAAAGCTCGGGACTGCACTGACAGAGAGCTTCAGAAGTTTTTATCTTGATTTGAAAACAATAATAATTAATAGATAGGGACAAAAGAAGAAGCATTGTTGCAAATAACTGATGCCATGTTCACAGACCATATGGCTAACGGCTAATTCCTGGTCCCTAATTATAATGCTAATAATGTTTTGGTTTTATATAGCGCTTTTTTGGACACTCATAATTCTTTCAGTCCATACACGGTGGTGATAAACTTCTCCTGTGTGTTCAGGTTTGGAGCCCCCAAAACCATCGCGTTCATCCAGAGCCCAGACTTTTGCTCCCAGGTGAGACATGTTCTAGCGCCAACAAAGGTATCTAAATTTTTCTCCATAAATACTGTCGTTTGTTCCAACAGAGAGAATCCTATAAAGGCTGTTAAATTATACTTAGCCTAATCTCTTCGGTCACAAATGCGTTTGTATATCTATGTGAAGGCATGTACATTACTGGCATAAGCTAAATTGTTTTCGTTACCTTGTCCTTTTTTTTTAATGCCTGTTTTATGTCAAAAAACAATAAAAATTTGTAAGACCGAATAAACTACTATAAAGTAAAATGTTGTGACAAAATTAGACCACAGCGTCATCTTAATAGAAAACATGTTGCCTTTTGCATTGTGGCTGAGTGAGGGTGGTCCTATTTTTTACTTTTCTGTGCTGATGTGCATCCAGATTCAAGAATTTACTTTATTTGCAATTTGCAGTAAAACCACATAAGAAAAACCATGCAAGACTACCCCAGTGTGCACCAGAGCTCTTGCCACGTGGAAACTAGTGAAAGAACCAATCTGTTTTGAGTGCGAGGAACTAGTCAGATGTGTTTTAAAAGAGTTCAAGTGTTTGTGGTTTGAAAGTTACATACCCCAGCTTTAAGTACTGTATCCACACATTCAATTCAATGTATTCTGGTTTAGCCCTAAATCCAAACAGTAGTTATTTTTCTGAGGACTTTACGAAACCGTTGAATTTGCTAACACACATAATAGAATAAAACAGTTCAAACACTGGAAATGCATGTAGTCAATGTCCATAAATGTGGATAAATGTTGTTGTTAATCTATTCCAATGGGGTTTTATTGCAAATGCCAAATACCCTCACATCCAGTAACACGCTTGTCGCCACCTGTCTTTGTCAGGTGTCCCGTGCGCTGAGTGAGACCTGGACTCTGTCGCTGCCTCTGGCCCCTGTGGACCAGGCCCTAGACTGCAGCGCCACCACTCTGCAGCGGGCGGTACTGCAGCTGGTGGAGGAAAGGCAGGAGCGGTGGGAGGAGCATCTGGACAAGACTCTGTTCCAGCTGAGAACCAGTGTGGACCAAAACACCAAATACAGCCCGTTCAGTTTGCTCTTCGGCCGGAGCGCACCCAAGACTCAAGTACGGCAAACTAGTCTGAAATATGTATGATGTTTTCTATGTCGTGTTATTTATATTACAAGACATGACGCATATCTCTGGGTGAGATAAAAAGAATTAACTATATAACATTGTTTGTATTATTGATTTTTGAAGTATGTTTTCATTTTAATTTTTTTCTATACTTTGATAACAAAAATAGACCATGAACTTTAAATATTTATATATTTTGCAGTTGTTATGAAATCCATTTATTCTTGTTTTTTTTTTTCGCTTTATCCGTTGCCGTGTCACGGGGCAGCAGTCTGGATCCATCCACAAACATACACTTCCTCCAGCTCATCTGGGGGAATCCCAAGGCGTTCCCAGGCCAGCTGAGAGACATAGTCCCTCCAACATGTCCTGGGTCTCCTCCCGCCTCAACTGGCTTCTCTTGACGTGGAGAAACAGTGGCTCTACTCCGAGCTCCTCACCCTATCTCTATGGGAGCTCCCAGCCATTCGACGGAGGAGGGTCCCCATTTGTATCCAATTGCAATCAATGTTATCCCTTCGGTCATTACCCAAAGCTCATGATCAGAGATGAGGGTGGGAATTTAGATTGGCTGATGAATCAAGAGCTTTGCCTGCAGACGCTACTCCCTCTTCATCACACAGAAAAATCCACACATTGCAAACATAATGCATAAAGCATGAGGCTGAGAACATTTTTCAACAATCAATCTTCAATAAATGAAATATAGGGGTAGGGTTAGTAAGTAAGTATGTTGCTTGGAGTTGCTTGAAAATATACATAATATGAAGGATCCCCCGCCCTTCACACATCCACACAAACTCCAGGTTCCTTTGAATTAACCTGGGTCACATCTCCTCCTGTTGTGCTTGTTTCAGTTTATTTCTCTTTCTCCACAGAGCTCTCTTCAGGAAAAGACTTGTCCACATCTGAAAGCCATCCAGGAGAATCAGGAGGCCCTCAGACACAAGGTACTCCGCCCATGTGCTGACACTTTATGTGGAATAATACTGAATGTGGCGGTATCTTGCCTCTTCCTCCTCTTGAGAGTTTGAAAACAGATTTGAATGTTAAGATTAGGAGATCCTTTGTTTGTCTCACAGTGGGGAAATTTCAGTGTTGCATCACCAGTTACAGAACAGTAGGAATGAAGAGCACACAGCACAAGATACATTAACAATAACTCTATTCTAAATAAAATAAATACAATCTTTAACTTTAGCATTAAAAAGCAAGTATAAAACCTCTATCTTTAGCATAAGAAAGCAATCTAAAGTCTCCAACTTTAGCCTTATGAAGAAGTAAGAATTAAGTCAAAAATCTCTGACTTAAGCATAGTAAAGAAGCATATACCTGTATAGAAGTGCATATATATATATAATATATATATATATATATATATATATAAATTTGAATACTTTCAAATATTTTAAATGTTTATGAGTGATCAGTGCATTCACAATGATCTTTGCCATATCCTAGAAGGTCTCATCTTGTTTTAGTAGATTAGGTAATACCGTAGTTTCTTCTATTCCAAACAAGTGTAAGATGGCAATTATATTACCTTGTGTTGACAATTGTCTGAGGTAGAAGAAACGAATACATTTCAATAACATTTGTTGCCTCACTGGCTTCTAAATTATCAGGTAGCCTTCCATTGCGTGTCTTCTACCTTGTCCCGCGCTCTTTAGATACTAAAATGATCTATAGTAGCTTTAGTATTAATTATCTGGTTTTTGATGCTTTTGAAACCCCTACATTTGTGACAATCTCTGTTGTGACTTTTGGGCTACACAAAAATAAATGTAATTGAATTAACCTTTCCTTAAAAGGAAGGTAATATAATAATAATAATAAGATGAGTGTTCTAAAGCTGCTTTTGTCTCTTTTCTCTCAGGTCCTGGAGAACTTGAACACAGCGTACAAACAGCAGAAGAAGACAAATTCTAAACGAGGGTCTGGGTTGTACCTGGGCTTCAATCAGAGCGATAAAAAGTGACCTGGAGAATGATATACAAATCGTACCATGACAAAAAATACAATTTAAACTGTAAAAAATGTTATTTATTAAATCTATTGTTAACAGTTTTGTTTGTGGATAAAGGCCTTTGAACATTGTGTGATTATCTTTTTTCAAGTTTGTAACTTTCTGGAGGTGTAAAGATTTACTTATACATACAATCATACAGCCATACAATCTTAAGATTATAGTCACTTCTGAAAAAACAACAGGAGGAGTCAGGATTACGCAGGAGCAACATGGCAAATAGTAAGGGATTATAACAAGGTAGTTGTCATGCATTATTTATAACTGCAAAAAAGTAAGAACAAGAAGGAGAAGGAAAACAGGTTGCATACTTTGGAGGTGTAATGACAATATATTATATAATAGAACATATCACAATTATCTACATTTACATCAAACTTGGACTACATCATTTTAACTGTTTGTTTTGTCAGTTTTTAGAGAATAAAATGAAAATAGATTCACTAGCTCTGGATGCCAGAGGGAGAAAAAAAAATACTACGTAAAAACTAGGAGTGCAAAATTGAAATACACCCCATTCAAATTATACGTTTGAGTATTCTCTGCAATAATTTTCTTTTACTGCTGTATTCTTTTACAAATGTATTCTGAACAAAGTAAAATACTCTCAAGTAAAGGAACAATAAAAACATTAAATTAATCTGTTTATTATCTATATAAGAGGAAAAGTAGAAAGATCCACGGGAAAACAGGTATATTTTACATGGATCTTTGTATTATTTTTGTCTTACGTCCATGGATACGTCGTACGTTTGTGGGCGGAGCTTTCTCACTTCCGTAACAACAAACGTGCAACAGAACAAAACTACGAGCTGTCACTACTGTCTCTGAAACATAATTTACCTTTATAACAACACGCTTGTAAAAAAACAACTTTGATTAATTGAATATCATTTAAATTGTATTTAAATCTTCAAAGTAACAGCAAAGTTGCTTACTGTATTTGCGTGCTGTAATTATTAGGCTGCAAAGTAAAATCAGTACAACGTGTGCATCATCTTTACATAACCAATCTTTGATGCCGGCCTGCTCCACTCTGGCTACATCCAAATTCATTTAAACATCTCATTCGCTGTTCTTCCTTATCTTTTCAATTTGACTTTTTATGATACTAGGCAGCTCTTTGTTTAGTTAAATGAAACTGAAGACATTATATCTACTGTCCAAATGCTACTTGGGTATAATTGCATTGCTTCAACCTCAATGAAAAGAAAAAAGAAAAACAAGAAAGGATACGGCTTAGGCTCTTCCCATTAATTTGGATGCGGCCACTGACCACAACGCGGATATCAAGTCACAGCTTAATATTGACAGTTCAAAACATGTCATTTTGAGACTTTAAAGTTGTCAATTTTGGGATTTTACAACAACGGCTCTTACTACGACTTTTTATGATACAAAAACAAAATGGCTGATTTGAAATTCGATCAAGATAATGGGTGATTTCGCAGGTTAGGCGCAAGTAACGTGTCATTACCAAAGACTGTAAGTCATTACCCGCGTATTCTGGATCTGTCTAAGTTTATAACAGATATTGCAAATGAATGAGAGTCGTGTTCAGTACACACATTTATTTATCTGAAGCTAAACCACCCATTGATGAAGAAGAGATCTCTGAAAAGGTGTGTTTTTGTGAATATTCAGACTAACTATATAGCAAAGACCACAGGTTAATATAATACCAGGTGAACTTTAAACCATATACATGTTCACAACCTTTACACAGGAAATTGCATGGGCATATGAAGGCTCACATGAAGGATCACTTATTGTCAGAGGTGGGAAGTTACAATTTTTCCAGAGGGAAAAGGATGTAGGCGGTAGACCAGTCCACAGGTGCAGGTGAAAGAGGCCGGATCAGAGGCACATCATACTACACCATATATATTGGTCTATATACAGCACAGCAGAGGTCAGGAAGCTATGACTCGGGAGGCAGATGTGGCTCTTTTGGAATCAGAATTATTTTTATTGACAGTTTTATTGAGTAACGAGCAGTCACAAACAAGAAAATTGCTTTGGCTCTTTGTTAATGTGTCTGGCTCTCAGTCAAATCTTAGATGACATTACTTGTAAGAATGTCTTATGCATTGGATTTTTTTTACTATTTTTTTTTATCAAACACAATAAGAAGTTCTGAGACTAATATTACACTCTAAATACATCACACATATTCATTATTATAGCTCTCACAGAAATACATTTGAAAGTAGTTTCAGTTCAAAAGGCTCCCAACCTTGAAATGACCTAAAGGTTTTATCATTGGCCTTTTCTGTAACATTTCCCATTGTGATTCCTCCCCTAGTTTGATCCATTGCACCTGTCCCAAACATGGACCGGCACTGTGCTCTGGGCGTGTGCGTCTGCTCCGTGCTTCTGGACCTTCTGCTGTCGTCTCTGCTCCTCACCAAAGGCTGTGGCCTCTCGCCCTCAGAATCCCTCGGGACATCACGGCTGGTTCTGGCTCTGTGGGGGTCCGTGCTGCTCCGCTCCTGCCTGCTGCTGGGTGCGTGTGTGACAGTATGACGGTATATGGTTGTGTTGAATATACAGTATTTACTGTTAAGGTTTTAGTTTGTTATGTCCTCTACTGCCATCATTATGATAATCAGGAAAAACAGACCAATATAGGTCAATGAAATGAAGTTGATTAAGTAAAATGTCTAAAGCTGGTTAAAGCTTTAGACATAAACTTTCAACCACAAAAAATAAGAATCTAATCAAATCTGTCCAACTAGTTCTCTCAAAACATTTTGCTTCTATCACTAGTTTTCACATGCATGCATTGTTAGCCTTTGTCACATCCTTAGGTCAGATTTTTCAGACAGAAAAGTGAAAAGAGAGGACCAGGATCAGCCAATCATCTCTCAGCCCAAAGTGACTCACAAGGCTCTTTCTTAAGTATGCAAAAGATGAAATGTTTTTTAATAAGATAAAGAAAGAATGTTAGCTCTGACTCGTTTTTAGGTCTTCATGCATTTGGAAGGATGCGTCAACAGCAAAGAACACATTTCAGATCCTTTAATGGCTGGAAGTTTTCTGCTTTTCTTCACATAGTGAATACCATCAAAAATCCATCCTGGCAGTATTTGATAGTGATGTGGCAATTTAAAGCTGGGGTACCTAACCTTTTCTTAAATAAATGATACATTTTGTTTGTTCCTAAAGTCAAATTGACACATTGTGAACAAATCAGACCAAAATATACTGTCTTCTTTATCATATTAGAAAACTATCTGGGTAAGTATCTTTTGAATACTTCCCTGTGAGTCACTATTTGACTCTTTGGACTGAGAGCTGGTTTGTCTAAGTCCTCTCTTTTTCACTTTTCTCTCTGAAAAAGCTGAGCTGAATATGAGACATAGATCAATAATACATGTACTGTATGGACCAGGGATACAAGAAAACTGTTTTAGAGCCAGGAACTAGTTGGATGGATTTTATGAAATAGTTGTATTGTTGTGGTTTGAAAGTGAGTTTGAAAGTGAGTTTGAATATAAAAGTGAAGCATTTTTTGTCTTCACTTTTTGCAGTGTTTTGATGGTTGCAGAGACGTTTTAATATTTTCACCCCCAACATCACCTGACCCCATCACGGTTCTCCTGTCTGTAGGTGCGTGTGTGGGCGTGGCCTTTAACAGAGTGGAGGGGCCCGGCAGAGTGAGCTGGTCGTCCCCGGCGGTGCACTTTGTGGCCATGGGGATAGTGACGATGGCTGTGTCCACTCTGCTGGTCCTGACTGAGGTGGACAGTCTGAAGAACCAGGCCTGGGAGCTCGGGCTCATATCCTGGAGCTGTGCCTCGTCTGTGGGGCTGGTGGCGCTGTGGAGTTTGCTGGGGAACACACAAGCAGAGGTGAGATGAAGGAGCAACAGGTCCTGGTCCAAACCTGGTTCAGACCTGAGTAAGTCCTGGTCAAGACCTTGTTCAGACCTAGTTCTCTAGCGTTGGAGAATTTGACAATATAATTATAGACAGGTGGCAGGGTCCTATGTAACAGTAAAGATGCAACATGCAGTAAGTAATGACAAGAAAGTGCACCACTCCCATCTGGTGGTAGAAGTGGGAAATTACATTCTGCTGCATTTAAAGGACAACTCACCCTCAAATCCACTTTTTTTTGCTGATAAACGGTATAAATGAGTGTCCAATAGTGTTGTCTACATATCCTGGTCATAATCTTGTCACTTTGGTGCAAATTAGTTGAAAGTTAGACTTTCTGCCTAAAACCGTCTGTGAGGCGCCATCTGCTGGCAACCTGTATTACTACATTTGAATTTTGAATCTGGCGCCAACACTGGCACAGAAGTTGGACCTGACGTCTGCAAGTTGGACCTGACGTCAGCAGCCCCCCGCCCAGAGCAATGTAAACGGCCCAGTCTCGTTCACGCCCCCTTTAGTCCTCCAGGCTACGCCCATTTAGAGGAAGATTTGAACAGGAAATGTGAGTAACGTAAGCTCCGAGGAGCGGGGTGAGAACCACTTTAAATAAAATCTAACATGAAACAATATCGCTCCCATGTCAAAAACAGATACCGAGTCGATTTTAGATCCATTCACACTAATATTTCTGTGAACAAACATGTAACTCCGCCCCTTCTGTCTAAAAGCTTCTGTCTCAGTTGTGGAGTAATACGATGCCATTCCCTTGTGTTTTAATGGTATCCTTTCTTGTTTTTCTTTTTTCTTTTCATTGAGGTTGAAGCAATGCAATTATACCCAAGTAGCATTTGGACAGTAGATATAATGTCTTCAGTTTCATTTAACTAAACAAAGAGCTGCCTAGTATCAAAAAGCAATACTTTTTAAACAAAAGTATTGCTCATAAAGTAGTTTTGTCGATTTCTCAGGTGAAATTACATTCTTTGCAATCAGTGTTTGCTTTCGGTATTTTTGAATTTAATAATTTAAAAAAAAACAATACAACTCCTCTCTTTGGGCATAGCATAGGGACTGACATGTGAATACATTTTTTACCCTTGATATTGAGCATAGGTCATATTTTGCAAAGTAAATAGTATTTATCATTTTTTATGGCCAAAAGACAGGCAGTGGACAAGACCGTATTGATGGATATATTGAGGATTTCCCTAAATTCCCCCAAAATTTGGCAAATAAAACCGCTCCGTTCATGCCGTAGTCTTGACCGTCATTTAAGGATTTGGACATATGGGGTGGGGGCATAGAAGTTCCTCAAATTGGCATGGATAGAGCTAAAAACAAACTCCGGGTCTGTTTTTGACGTGGGGACAATGTTGTTAAATAAGATGATTATCCAGGTTATACATGATTTCTAAAAAACTTTAAGGCATTGAATGTTTTTCTTCACAGGCAACTTCCCCGTCGTCACAGGCAGAAGACACTGAGCGGCTTCTGGACCCGCCCCAGGACCAGACCAGGTCTAAAGTCCTAGATCAGAGCCAGGATCCAGACCAGTCCAGTCCTGAAAATGAATCCGAGTCAGAGAAGGCAAGTTCAGGGGCCACACTGGGACGGCTGCTGTGGTACTGCAAAGAAGATGGCGGCCTTCTCTCCGTGGCGACACTCTTTCTCCTCATCTCTGCCATCTGTGAGTCCTGCTTTAGACCTGGTCCAGACCTGGCCCAGACCTACTTAAGACTTTGTTCAGATTTTTCTTGTTTAATATACAGTGCCTTGCGAAAGTATTCGGCCCCCTTGAACCTTTCAACATTTCGCCACATTTCAGGCTTCAAACATAAAGATATAAACATTTTATTTTTTGTCAAGAATCAACAACAAGTGGGACACAATCGTGAAGTGGAACAAAATTGATTGGATAATATAAACTTTTTTAACAAATAAAAAACTGAAAAGTGGGGCGTGCAATATTATTCGGCCCCTTTACTTTCAGTGCAGCAAACTCACTCCAGAAGTTCAGTGAGGATCTTTGAATGATCCAATGTTGTCCTAAATGACTGATGATGATAAATAGAATGCACCTGTGTGTAATCAAGTCTCCGTATAAATGCACCTGCTCTTTGATAGTCTCAGGGTTCTGTTTAAAGCGCAGAGAGAACCATGAAGACAAAGGAACACACCAGGCAGGTCCGAGATACTGTTGTGGAGAAGTTTAAAGTCGGATTTGGATACAAAAAGATTTCCCAAGCTTTAAACATCTCAAGGAGCACTGTGCAAGCAATTATATTGAAATGGAAGGAGTATCAGACCACTGCAAATCTACCAAGACCTGGCCGTCCCTCCAAACTTTCATCTCAAACAAGGAGAAGACTGATCAGAGATGCAGCCAAGAGGCCCATGATCACTCTGGATGAACTGCAGATAACTACAGCTGAGGTGGGAGAGTCTGTCCATAGGACAACAATCAGTCGTGCACTGCACAAATCTGGCCTTTATGGAAGAGTGGCAAGAAGAAAGCCATTTCTCAAAAATATCCATAAAAAGTCTCGTTTAAAGTTTGCCACAAGCCACCTGGGAGACACACCAAACATGTGTAAGAAGGTGCTCTGGTCAGATGAAACCAAAATTGAACTTTTTGGCCACAATGCAAAACGATATGTTTGGCGTAAAAGCAACACAGCTCATCACCCTGAACACACCATCCCCACTGTCAAACATGGTGGTGGCAGCATCATGGTTTGGGCCTGCTTTTCTTCAGCAGGGACAGGGAAGATGGCTAAAATTGATGGGAAGATGGATGGAGCCAAATACAGGACCATTCTGGAAGAAAACCTGTTGGAGTCTGCAAAAGACCTGAGACTGGGACGGAGATTTATCTTCCAACAGGACAATGATCCAAAACATAAAGCCAAATCTACAATGGAATGGTTCACAAATAGACGTATCCAGGTGTTAGAATGGCCAAGTCAAAGTCCAGACCTGAATCCAATCGAGAATCTGTGGAAAGAGCTGAAGACTGCTGTTCACAAACGCTCTCCATCCAACCTCACTGAGCTCGAGCTATTTTGCAAGGAAGAATGGGAAAGAATTCCAGTCTCTCGATGTGCAAAACTGATAGAGACATACCCCAAGCGACTTGCATCTGTAATTGCAGCAAAAGGTGGCGCTACAAAGTATTAATGCAAGGGGGCCGAATAATATTGCATGCCGCACTTTTCAGTTTTTTATTTGTTAAAAAAGTTCAAATTATCCAATAAATTTCGTTCCACTTCACGATTGTGTCCCACTTGTTGTTGATTCTTGACAAAAAAATTAAATTTTTATATCTTTATGTTTGAAGCCTGAAATGTGGCGAAAGGTTCAAGGGGGCCGAATACTTTCGCAAGGCACTGTATTATAAGTTCTGAACATTTTGAGATTTTTAAACTGGTTCCTAGGTGAGGCGTTTATTCCGTACTTTTATGGTGTGGCAATCGACGGCATCGTGGTTTCCCAGAGCATGGAGCAGTTCTCCAAACCGGTGCTCATTCTCGCCGCTCTGGCCGTGGGCAGGTACACACTTTTTTTAACTCACACTTTCATTGTTGCATCTTTCACTTGTTTTTGAACGTGTTTCTGAAGCTCGTTGGCGATCGGTGTGAGAGGAGGAGTCTTCACACTGGTCTTTGCTCGGTTAAACCTCCGTCTGAGGAACCACCTGTTCAGGACGCTCATGAAGCAGGAGCTCGGCTTCTTCGACCAGAACCACACAGGTGAAGCAGATTCACAGTCAGTGTATTGGACATTTGCAGTAATACCACATTGGAGTAAATTGGCAAAGGTCCCCAGTGCTCACAAGACAAGTACATAGATAAAACAAGATTAAAAGCACAGGAATAAAACAAAGGAAACAATTGACACTCGGGGTGCTTGCGCAAGTCTTGTAGGTATGGAATTTTGAAACACTGTTATAAGTCTTTATAAAGTATGGGGAAAAATTATATGGTAGAATTTTACAGTATGCTCAAAGGCATTGTGAAGGAAGGTAGGCTAAAAAAAACTATAATTTCACTAACTGGTCACGCACTGTATTAGCCTAATGGAATGATATCCAATCAACGCTTGCTTAGCCTAGTCTGGCACGTTTTCGTGATGTCACTGCTGAGGTCTATTGACACATAGCAAGCCTAGTGGTCAACAGAAATGAGTCGTTGCATGTTTTTTGAATTTGTGGTCTTTTAGGTTTTAAGGTCTTGGGGGGAAAAACCCACTGGACTCTGGAAAAAGTCTGGAATGTTAATTTGGAAAAAGAGCAAGCTCCCTGGACACTGTGAAATCAATCAACAAAAATAGTTGAATTACAAGTGCTATCATTAAAGTGCTTTGTTTAACTGAGAACAGCTTGTGGACAGAAGTTGTTAGCAAAGCGCTATGTCTTCATCTCAACTATTGATACTGTATCTTCAGCCAGAGGGAAGAAGCTGGAACATGGCTTTTCCAGGAGCCAGAAGAGTCATTGGTTATTTGAAGAGCTAGGTTTAAGAGTCTGGATTCATAAAGAACCTCCAGAACAGGCAGCTCACAGTCCTCTCTCAGAGCGGAACACCTTGTTTAGAGCTCTCAAACAATGCTCATGTTAAAAGGACTGCCCAAACCCGCTCTGCAATAACATGTGAGCCTGCAGCCTGTCCATCACTGCATTGTAAATCTCCTGTGTATGGCGCCCCCTGTAGGTGACATCCTGTCTCGTCTGTCTGCGGACACGACTCAGGTCAGTGATCTGGTGTCTCAGAACCTGAACGTCCTCCTGCGCAGCGTCGTCAAAGCCACGGGTTTCTGCATCTTCATGTTTGGAATGAGCTGGAAACTGACGCTGGTCTCCCTCATGGGCTTCCCCTTCATTGGCCTCGTGTCACAGGTTTACGGAGACTACTTCAAGGTATTTCTCACGTCTGACTGTACAGGGTTAAACCACATCAAAAGGTGCATAACTCATGGCTTTAACTTACATTTCAGTCCTGCTGTAGTTGGGATTGTTTTCACACTGGCACATGCAAATTCAATTCAATTTATTTTTGTATAGCCCTAATTATAATAATAATAGTGCATTAGTTTTATATAGTGCTTTCAGGACACTCAAAGACACTTAACATTATTAATTCACTCCATACACGGTGGTGATGACAGCACACTGACAGAAGCGAGGCAACCAGTATGTGCCATCGTCCCCTCAGACAAACCACCAACCATTCACACACAGACTCACTGTAGGCAATGTGGGTGAAGTGTCTTGCCTAAGGACACATCAACAGTTTGGCACTTTACAGTCGTTCCTTTGTGGCACCTGGTGTTCACAGAGGTCTCCCATCACAGTACTAACCAGGCCCTGCCATGCACAGCTTCATAGGTCTGATGGGGTCTGGCTTTCACATGCAGGTATGGCACTATAAATCACAATAGTAGTTATCTCTGAGGACTTTACAAAGTTCGCCAACACAGACCAGAGCATCAAACAGTTAAAACACAGGAAATGCAATAGTAAACAATGCATGAAAGAAACTGATATTAACCCTGTACTCCTGTCCCCTCAGTCTCTGACCAAAGAGGTGCAGACAACTCTGGCCGAGGCGAACCGCGTGGCTGAGGAGACGGTGTCCGCCATGAGGACCGTGCGCAGCTTTGCCAACGAACACAACGAGGCAGAGTCGTACTACAGCAAACTCCTGCAGATGTTCAGGCTGAACCGCAGACAGGCCCTGGCCTACGGCGTGTACATGTGGTGCACCTGCGTACGTATCACTTCAGGGGCATATGAGGCTTACTGACATTTTAGCAACTTAAATCATCACATTATCATTTGAAGACAAGAAAAAACAAAAACACAGTATACTGTTTTATATGTATATAACCTTGCACTATATATATAAGATATTTCCAAAGATTGATATTGAAGCATATACAGCTAGCTACAGTAATAAGAAACATGGAAGCTAATTATTTTGTATATTTTGTGTGCGCTCCCTGTGTGCTCTTACTACTGTCCTGTATGCGCATGCAACATTGAAATTTGCCCACTGTGGGACGGATAAATGGTCTCTTTTCTTATCATACTGGTTTGTGTGGAGGATTGCTGGTGGTCTATGGCACAGATTGACATCATTCTATTACCACCAACTATGGAGTGAATGAATAAACCACATTAAAATTTTAGGACTTCTCTATCATTGATAAGGCAGTCCTCGAAATTCTTCCATTTATTCTTTCATTCAATTGATTCTTTTAAAGCCCTAAATCACAACAGTAGTTATCTTGGAGGACTTAAAAAACCCGTTGAATTTGCCAACACAAATCCGAGAATCAAACCGTTCAAATACAAGAAATGCAATGATAGAGAAAAACACATAAAGCCAGTGTTCTATGAGGGGCCGATGACCAATGTCCATAAATGTGGACATCTGCTATAGGCTAACATGGCTAACTCTTTCTGTAGAACTGTGCCATAGATCACATGTTTAGACAAGCCCACTCACTCACTAACATCATGACCACACTCTCCTCTGTCCATGATGCTTTTAACTTTGTATTTTAACAGTTTTTTTTATGCACCTTTTTACTTGACCTTGAGTGTCAAGAAAGGCTAAGAAATAAAATGTATTATTATTATTATTATTACTTGTAAATTGGTATTTTTGCTCTAATTATTTACAAAATGCATGTATACGGCTGTAAATTCAGTCCTCACCTATCTGGTCACGGCCTTCATCATGACCGAGCAGCATTCCAGACTCTTGCACCCTAAATCAGGCTAGTACTCTGGCTTTATTCAAGTCTAGGCTGAAAACTGTTTTTTTTAGCCGTGCCTATGACTGATTCGTACTGAACTGTTTGTGAGCTGTTTGTTTAAAATGTTGTCAATGTGGCGCGCTGTGTATGAACTGTGCTTTAGAAATACATTTTGATTGATAGATTCTTTTATCTTGAGTGGAACAGTCCATGATTGAACGATAGATATAGACAGACAGTTCACGTGTCTAGTCGTGAAAACATGCCACAGACGTTAGTGCTGTGTGTGAATGTGTGTGTCCAGCTGTCAGAGGTGGCCCTGGAGCTGGCGGTGCTGTACTACGGGGGACATCTGGTGGTCTCAAAGCAGCTCACGTCCGGAGCCCTCATCTCCTTATTCATCTACATGTTGCAGCTCGGGGAGTGTCTGGAGGTACGATCCCCTCTTCTGCCCGCTCAGTTACACTTTCACATACAATAATGAGTGGATGTATTTCCTTAATCTATGTTTAAGAATCTAGAGCATGTCAAACTCAGGCTTGTGGGCCAAATCCGGCTCGAGACACCATTTTTAGTGGCCACCCAACATGATTTTCAATTATTATTATTAACTTGCAGCATTGATGGACATGTTGTGTATCATCTATTTTTTTTAGGGAAAGCAACCAAATTTATTATTATTATATTTAACCCAACACATCATCAATAGTTAAATAGTTAAGGATAAACCCACGTGTCTAACCTTATATTTGGTTCAGTTTTGAAATACTTAAGGAAATTATTTTAAGGAAATCCCTTCTATTCTTTCGGCCCCTGATCTGTTCCTATCTTTTTTTATTCAGCCTCTGAACGAAATGAGTTTGACCCCCCTGATCAAGAGAGAATCTATGTTTGTGTTTTGATTTGCACCTGCTCAATTTCTCTGCCAAATCCAACTTGTTTATCCTATTCAAGGCCAAATCTAGACCTAGAAAAGCCTGGTTTTAGACCTGGTTTTGATTGTTGGTACTCTAAACTATGGATACTATTGAAACTTGATTGATTTTCATAGTGACAATTGTGTGTCCTGCACTCTTTAACCTTCTTTAATTTATGTACTTGGACACTGGGAATTTTTGCAAATGTATTCCAATGTGGTTTTACTGCAGATGACAAATAAAATGTATCTGAAATTATTCAGTTTGAGAAGCACTGTTTGAATATGTGTCTCTCCAGAGTGTGGCGTCCGTGTACACCGGCCTCATGCAGGGAGTGGGGGCGGCTGAGAAGGTCTTTGAGTACTTGGACAGAGAGCCGCGTCACTGTGCCGACGGGACCGAGGAGCCGGAGAGCTGCTCTGGACTGGTGGAGTTCAAAGACGTCACATTCGCCTATCCCACCCGACCGCAAACACCCATACTCAAGGTACGTCCTGTGAAAGTAGATCTGGAGGTTCAATAACAGTGGTGTGGTGTCAGTACAGACTAACACTCAACCACTGGATTTTTATGTATTTATTTATTTTCACATCATCAAATACATTAAATTGTGTGTATAGCTTTGTGATTTGTGAAAAATTGACTCCCAAAAAGCTCTGCAAAGCTTATAAATGCTTAAAAACAGAGAGCTGAGATCCTGAGCTTTACAACAAGGTAGAACATGTCTACATTGGCAGAGCTGAAGTTGACTGGATGACTATGTGAACTTTCTTATTGTGTGATATTGTCTGTTGACAGTGTGAGCATGTATGGTAGTAATTTTATTTAGAATTACCGTTTCAAAGTTTTAGTGCCAAGGCAAAGTTGCAATGCTCCATCTTCTCATTCAGATCCAGTTTTTTAACATATTCTTAATTATTAACATAATCATACTCATAGCGAATGTTCTTTGGTTTTAGGGTGTGTCGTTCACTCTCCGTCCTGGGAAGCTGACAGCGCTGGTGGGGCCCTCTGGTGGAGGAAAGAGCTCCTGCGTCAGCCTCCTGGAGAACTTCTATCTGCCTCAGAGTGGACAGGTGAGTAAGACGGTTTGTAGCTAGCTATGTGTAGGAGACACGTTTGGGCACTGTGTGAATGAATTAATGAGTGAGGTGTTGTGGGCATGTGCGTGAGAGTGTGTGTGTGTGTGTGCACGTGTATCTGGGCGCGGTACACGAGATTATGAATGGGCATACACCTGCGGGGGCACGGAAAAGAGGAGAGAGGTTTGACTGGTAGGCCATAATTTTTGTTGACTGCTATTATAGTTTTGTTTGATTTATTTTTGCTATTTTTCTGGTTTCAGATTATTAACTCATTTTTCTGTGTATTCACCATGCATTTTGGCCTGTGACCGCAGCGTCTATTATGAATTAAATGACATCGCTACTAGATCCAGCCTTTCCGTTTGTTTTTTATACTTATTTTAGCGCGTCATACACTTTCATCGGACCCAACTCGCCTCTCCGCGGCTTTAGGCAACAGGCAGCCGCTATACTATGTTTGGCTCATTTCGGCAAGATTTTACTCCCATCTAGCGTTGAGATTGTATATTGCAGTCCGTTGTTATTACGAGTGCTGCGATGGACAATTTGCCGTCCAACTTTTTTCATACAAAGTTCAAATAGACAGACTCACATTCGCACACAGCTATGGATGCTACAATTAACATGTTGGTTGTCTATCTGTACACATAAACGGGCTGTGTTATTGTTAAGTTTTAATAGGATGTGGACCACTTATCAAAACCTGCTTTTCTCCCATATCTGGCTCTTTATGGTATGCTCTTTTTGCTTTTTAAGGTTTTACTGGACAATAACCCGGTGCACAGTCTGCAACACCAGTATCTTCACTCAAAGGTCTGCACTATTGTGATCATTTGTTACTGTAAACATTTATATGTGAAGTTTTTTTTTCCGGAAACTTCACATATGACTTTTACATGTGACCTGTTTACTTGGGGCACATATAAAAGAAAATATTGCATACATACTACCGTTTAAATTCCTGAATCACATACTTGCACAGCTTGGTAATGTTGTTCTCCTGCAGGTGGCGCTGGTGGGGCAGGAGCCGGTTCTCTTCGCTCGCAGTGTGGAGGAAAACATTGCGTACGGTCTGAGTCACGTGACCAAAGAAAACGTGGTGCGAGCCGCCACGGAAGCCAACGCTCATGAGTTCATTTGCGAGCTGCACCGGGGATACAAGACCAGTACGATGACTCAGCATTTCTGTGTTCATTTTGGCCCCAAACAGGATTTTGAGAATATTAACTTTGGTACTTTGGTAAAGAAGAAAAATATATATACAGACATGAAAAAAAAGAGTATGAGATGACTAATAAGAGCAACACTCCCATCTAGTGGCCAATCCTTCAAAAAACCTGGTCGTCATTTGAGTAAGATCTTTATAGAGAAAACAAAATTTACAAAATTATAAGGAGTTTCAACCTATACTGAATTAGTTTTAAGGACGTTGAATTTTGTACAATTCAAGTTAAATGTTTTCATAAAGATATGAAACATTTCTTGTAACACTAAATAAGCCAAGGCTGTAATCAAACAGACTTCTAGCATTACTTGTGATTAAAAAGTAAAATAACACAAATAAAATCAGGTTAACAAGGTCTGGAGGTATAAGACGCCCTGTGATTGGTCGAACATGTATGCAGGCTTTTTGAATTTGCATCTTTAATCTTGTGTTTCTTTCTCTGTGGTGCCCCCTGCAGGCGTGGGTGAGAAGGGCGCCCAGTTATCAGGGGGGCAGAAGCAGCGCGTGGCCATCGCTCGAGCTCTGGTCCGGGACCCGCAGGTGCTGATCCTGGACGAGGCCACGAGTGCTCTGGACGCTCACAGCGAACACATGGTACTTGTCCTGTGTAAACCATAGACTGTGTATAGATGGACAATGCTAAACCTGCTAGCTCAATGAAACCCAATAGGGAAGTACCAAACCCCGGCGATCCAAGATGGCGCCGTATTAAAATGAATGGTTGTGCTCAGTGGCGTCAGTGTTTTTGGGCATCGTCTGGTCCTCCCGGTTCTGCGCAGTGGATGAACTCCCATGATGCGTTGCGCCAAATACGTGTGTGTGGGTCTCACATGGGTCTCGCGCACATGCACAGAAGGGCTCGGCTGCGCTCTGACCAATCAGAGCAGTTCATCAGAGCGGGAGTTAGAGTGGGAGCCAGACGAGCAGAGTTTGTGGCAGTAAAGTGTGGATTTAAAGAAAACCAAAGGATTTAAGAAGAAGAAAACAAGTTCAGGATGACAAGGGACACAAAAATCCCCACAAAATCCGACCTTTATGAAAGCTGTAGGTTCTCTGTCAGCTGAGGTCGAGTTGTTTTAATTTACATTGAGTTCTATGGAGAAAATTTCTGGGTAGCCCACGTGAATTTTGTCTGGTTTAGTCTGCAGCACCGCGAGAATCCCCCGAGCACATGGTTCTTCAGCTCCAAGCTAGTAATACCCTATCTAGTTATTATAATAGATCCATGGGAAGTACTCATAGAAAATCCTATTGACTTACATTGAAAAGTAAACTCCTACCTCAGTGACCGTTTGTGTCACATCCACCAGTTTGGGCTCTCTGTGATCCTGGGTTTTATATTGATATTGTCTTTGTAAATCCAGTTATGAGCCATAAGGATTGACCATTCAGATGCCTTCAATTGAGGTTAAACTCCAGCTTCCCGCAGCAACCATTTCAGCAGCAGCAACCTGTCACGGCAAGAAACTAACCCCGTCTGAAATTTCCTCCAGCTAGCTCCTGTTCAAATCATCCTCTTCTGCATTGACACATTATCGTGACGTCAGCTGCTCTCTCAGTCCACTCCTCTCTCAGTCCACTCCTCATATACGGTTTATTATGTGGAGAAAAAAGTGAGTAAACTAAGGGAGGCCCACATTGAGAGAGGGATTCGCTCTCATGGACATATTGATCCAGAACTCAGGGCGTAGAACAAAGTCTATCAAAATTAGTTTCACATTGTAAGTTAAATTACAGAATGAAATAGACCTAAAAAGATAATATTCAAATGTTCCCAGTTTCACCAGTGCACAGTATGTTACTTCATCAAACCCCTTATTTATGCAAAAATATGTGCAAGTTTGAAAATAAAATAATTGAATTCATCTTAAAGAGAATAGAGCCAAAGCGAGCCTGCCTGACCTCCTCTCTCCTTCAGGTGCAGCAGGCTCTGAACTCGGTGATGAAGGACCGGACCGTTCTGGTGATCGCCCATCGCCTCAGTTCAGTGGAAAAGGCCGACCACATCGTCGTGATCGAGGAGGGGGGCGTGGCCGAGCAGGGGACACACACACAGCTCATGGAGAGAAGACAAGTTTACTACAGACTGGTCCAGCGACAGATACTGGGACTCGAGGACCAGAAACCAGAGCTGAGACCAGAGCTGAGACCAGCAAAGGGCAGGCACAGGCGACAGAGCAGTGACGGGGAAGCAGAGTTTATGTCTGGATTCGAGAAGTAGATCTATTGAAGGTAGAAGTGGGAGATACCTCATAAACTGTAGTAATGGATGGAGCTAACATTCTAGGTAGCTAAAGCCTAGAGAAGTGGGTGAAATGTTGCTTTTTCTTTGACCCACAACTCCCAAAGAAGTTTCTCTTATCTGTGTTTTGTGCGTAGTCATAAAGCTTTAACAGAGACAATCTGTGCTAATACTACTGCTAATGTCTATTGTCTGTTGGTTATTTTGGGCATTATTTATGGACATTTAGAGCTGACATGTCCACAGTCATGTTTCCTACTCATGAAGTCACTTTACATGTTTTTGGGAATCTAATCTCCAAGACCAGTGGTAGTCAATCAATCTTTATAATCTCCTCAACAACGTAACAGAAGTTGCTTTACATTTTATTAAAGCTTTGACCCAACAGACCAGCCCCAAACAGCACACAGCCCCCAGTGTAGGGGGCTCCTCCAGAGGAAACACTGGAGATACTAAAACCAAGTGAATTATTTAAATGTGAAAGAAAGCAACACTAAGAACAATAATACAGTGACTAGTAAAAAACGCTTAATCCGTTGCCGAGTTGCGTGGGCAGCAGTCCGTCTAATGTGTCCTGGGTCCTCCTCCGGTCTCCTTCCGGTGGACCCAGAACCTCTCCTGGAATGCATCCAGGAACAATCCCAAACAGATACCCAAGCCACCTCAACTGCCTCCTCAAGATGTGGAGAAGCAGCGGCTCTACTCCGAGCTCCTCCCGTGTGACAGAGTTCCACACCCTATTTTTGGTGCTCCAAAAACATTGTATAGCTCCGTATGTGACTTTGGTCTACAACATCCGCTAAATAAATAAATAAAAATACTTTAAGGTATTTAAAAATACTTTAATGAACAAGGACTAGCCATTTCTGTTACTTCAATATAAACTGCCTGAATCAAAGAGGAGGGACTTAAATCAGAGAAACCAGACTTGAATCTATCATTATGTTGTTTGATTTGTTTTTTGTGTGTTTTATTTCACTTTCAAGATTCTCGTTTCTCCTGTTGTTACTGCACAAAATGTTTCCATTCATTTGAATTATTTATGATGACAAATGTAATGATCACAAGAAGCTGACAAACATACTTGAAATGTATTTGAATAAATTAATTATGTAATTTGTTCTAGTTACTTTCATTTCCTATTTACTAACTCACATAGTCACTACATTATCAACAGATATCAATGTCAAGAGACTGCTCTAAAACTGCTCTACAAATAACTTATTAACGTCCATTTTATATGTTATATATTTATAAACCAATTTAAATTTGATGAGAAACAGTGGCTGAGTGGTTTGCATTCTTGCTTTTCCTCAACAAGGTCCTGGGTTCTATTGCACCTCCAAACAGACCTTTCATGTACAGAGTTTACATGTTCTCCCTGTGCCTGCGCAGGTTTCCTCCTACCGCTTAAACATGTACAATACTTTCCTGGTTAAAGGAATAATAAATACTGTGCTGAAATCAGTTTTGCATTGAAAATTAAACTATGTATAAAATCCATCACTCTAACAGTTGGATTCCAATCTCTAAATTTGCTGTATGTATTTCTATTAACTGTCTAAAAAAGGTTAGGTACTCTTTCTTACAAATATGCAAAAGATAACATTTCCTATTATCTTATATAAAGCATGATGTGGTCTGGTTTCGTTCACATTTCACTTTTAAGAGACAGACTTTCTATTGGGACAAATAAATGTATTATTTAGGAAGCAAAATGTCATGTAGCCCAGCTTTAATCTCCATTACAACCATAGTCTGTAAATGTTATGTTCCAACCATAGTCTGTAAATGTTATGTTACAACCATAGTCTGTAAATGTTATGTTACAACCATAGTCTGTATATATTAACAAAAACACTAACAGACGTCTCTTTTACTTTGAAATCCCGCGCGGACGCTCTTCTCTCTCCCGGTCTCGCGTGACTTGACTTCGGCCTAAACTTGAGTGCGAGCATCCTCACATCACCTCCGCTGTCTCCTCCGGGCTCAGCGCGTCTGTCCCCCGGCTCAACACCGCCTCTCCCCGGGGGCCACACATCCCCTGTGCCGTGTCGCTGCACCATGGGGTAGAAGCACCATCGTCTTCGCCTTCGCCCCGACCTTCTGTGGACGTGTCCGACCGCCCTGCGCACCACCAACATGGGCTTCCTGCACCAGCTCCACCTGCTCCTGTGGAAGAACGTGTCGCTGAAGCTCAGAGGACCCGTGAGTGGATTTCTATTCATATTAAACATCATATTTACATACGTGTTCTATACTTATCTGACTGTGTCGGGGGGGGGAAAGCCCTCTCCAGCGGTGTCATCATAGCGCCGCAGTGAGAGAGATGGGGTTTAACAGGTTGTAAACAAGTCATAGAACCATGGGATAGAAATAACAAAATACGATCTACGCAGAGAAATATCGGATTTATTTCTTATAGTTCATCGCTATGAGGAAATATTATAAATATAAATGTAAAGTCAAAGGTTCTGTGACTAGAATGCTTTGGGAGTCTGGTGCAGAGGAGGGCAGGGCCGGTTCTCAGCGTTTGGTGGCCCCATGCATGACGGTGTTTGTGGCCCCCAATCGGTAGAGGGCTCGAAGCGAGAGAGGATTATTAGGATGGGGAATATAAGCGGGTGCTTTATCTCCATAAACAAAGGCAAGTTCTGATGCAACAGTGCAAAAATGATGACAGGACATGATTGAGAAACTTACTGCTATACTGTGCACATTGTATAGAACTTATGAATTTTGCACAAAGAATAACATATTGTCTATGACATTGGATTGTGGTAAAACATATATATATGTTAGATGAATACCAAGATTTTGATTTCCTTTATTGTGCAATATAGATATGTAGTTATTTCAATTGTAATATGATATATTTTTTTCGAGGCTGTAATAGTCAGAGAGCCACACAGTGAATGGAAGATAAATGCTCCAACAATGTTTTATTTTGCTAAACTGGTTGAGTTAAGTAAGTGCTCAAACAAATTTATTTTTTCCAGAATCGTATCAAATCACATTTGCAGCCACACCCTTTCTGGAACCAGTTTGACACCCTTGCTCTTCATATCGTATCGTGATTATTATATCGAATTGAATCTTATTGGATTGAAAGGGCCCTGTATCTTAAGTTTTATGGTGGCCTCTGTATAAAAACCCTAAAAGATATCTGGACCTAGCTATGTATATGTATATTAGTACAGTGTAGTTTTGAACAATTTGGTATTTTTCTATTAGAGTTCCATACAAGTTATTATTATCTATCCTTTAATCACAGCTGTAATCGTTTCAGAAGACTTTACAAATATTTGCCAACAACAGCTCAGAAAATCAAACTGTAAATGCAATAATAACAAACACATAGAACTCATTGGTCTGTAGGGAGTGGGACCAATGTCCATAAATGTTGATAAATGTCCTTAGACCCTCCTACTTTCTGTTGCGTTTAACATTTAACATTGTGTCTCATAATTGACTTTATAATAAGCTATATTAACCACCTAAGAAAGTATATGAACCAGATAAACAGACTTCTCTCATAGCGTGATGAGGACTACTCTATTTTTATCCATGTTTTTCAGAATGATGAAAAATGAGGCCTGTTGCTATAGCGATTCGATTATCTTTTGAATGGGAAAATTTTTCTCAAAACGTTGCGTGAAAGAGGACCCTGAAACAGTTGAATATTGTTCTTATGTCATAGACTGTCCCTGGGGATCGGCTGCATTTAGTGACTAGAATTCCAAACTGGGACACACAGGTGGGGTAAGAACAACACCATCCTGCACCGTCTGCATCAGTTGTAATATGACTCATTCAGGCTATTATTTTTATTATATATTTTTTACAATTTTAAATTAGGAATATCCCGGTATCAGCAAAAGCTCTGATACCACAGTTTTTCAGTGTATCAGAATCAGAATTATTTTCATTGCCATTGTCAGTATCAGGTAACAGTCACAAACTGGGAGTTTGCTGTGGCATATGGCACAAACAAGTTATAAAAAATAAAAAATAGATATAAAGGCAAGCTTAAAGTAATCGTCAATAGATCTAGATGATTGAGAAGTGTCAAGAGGTATGAGATTATAAAGGGACATGTTATGGTGTGGATTTTTATTTCTGTATTTGGTTTTATTTTGACATTAGTTATCTGGTTTCATTTCAGTTTTACTTCATGTCCTGTTCCCTTCTTGATTGTCTGCCCCGCCCTGATGTGTTTCACCTGTGTCTGTGTCTATATGTACCCTGTGCTTCTCTCCCCTTGTTGCTGCTGCATTGTCTTGTCTAGTTTTGTCCTGGTCACTTTGGATTTTTGGAGTTGTTCTTTTCCTTGGACTTTGTTTTATTAAAAGCTTTATTTTGGCATTCCTGCATTTTGAGTCTTCCTCATTTTCACCCCGTGACAGGGCAGAAGATATGGCGAGCACTCGGACAACCAGTGTTGGCAACAATGGTTTAGTCATATAAACTTTATTTTGACTTGATAGATTCTACAATAATAACCAAATTTCACCAATGTACCAATGTTGTCTACACAATATGTATCGGCATTGGCATCACCTATGAGGCCAAGTATCAGATCCCAAAAAAGTGTTTTGTTGCATAATTACAAATGCCTTACAATGACTGAATTAGAGAATTTTTCTGTTTGCAGGAAATAGATGGAATGTGTTGAAAGTTCAGGACAACTGTTGTATTGAGATGCACCTTACTATTAGTTACAGATAAACACCATACTTTGTTATGTCTTTATTACATTTTAGAATTATTTTTAGGATTTTATAACTCAACCTTGGTCTAAATTGTCTTAAAAAGAAACAAAAAACAGACAAGAAGTAATAAACATAGCGCTCTGGGTGGCAGTGTAATTAACTGAATCATCAATGGCGTCGTGAAGTCGAGCAGACTTGTCCTTCTGTCCTCTCTGTCTCCCTGGGCCCTATTCTATGATCTCTCTGCTAAACCTGTAGTTTGTCCCTGTAAGGCTTCTGTAGTCTTTGTCCTCTTTGTCTCAGTAATTAAAGTCCAAACGTAGAGTATCTGAATAAAACATGAAGAGTTGTGTTCCCCCTGACCTGGAAACACAGGGGGAGGAGCCAGAAGTCCTGGTTCAACTCAAGGCCACATGTCATGCAAAGTCAAATTTGAATAAATATTTTTAACTATGGTACAACAAGGCAAAGGAAGGTTTCTCACCCATCTGTACTGCCTTAGTCGCAGTTTCAGAGGCAGAAGCTTAAACAGTTTCTCCTGAGCTGGTGCTGGGTACTGTACACTGCCCAATAAAGTAAGCCAATTCTGCTTCTTCAATTCAATTTATTCTCTTGCCCTAAATAATAACATTAGTTATCTCAGAAGACTTTAAACAACCGTTGAATTCTCCAGCACAGATCAGAGAATCAAACAGTTCAAACACAAGAAATAATTAGAAAACACATTGGTATATTGGTCCATAAGGGGCAGATGACCTATGTCCATAAGTAATGTTAAATGTCAAAAGTTCTCAAACTAAAAAAACTATGAATAACCTTCTCATCACACAGGCAGTCTGAGATGAAGCAACCCAAGTATTTGGTCTTTTCGCACACAGTTAAACTTTTCCCAGATTAGTCAATTTGTGGGAAAAAGAGATCCTTTTCTACTTAAGTCCGACACTCTTTTCGGTGATGCCTGTGAGTGAGTTTTTCAGCCAAAAAGCTTGCATTTGAAAACCATAGAAGGCGGGGAACTAGCTACATACGATTTTATTACATAGTTAATGTTTTGTGGTTTCAAAGTTACTGTAGGTACTCAAGCTTTAATATGCCCTTATAGCCTTGAGTGGTGACACCAGGCTATGAACCATGTAGATTTAGCTGTCATTTAGTTTTTGAATTAAACAGTTTGTTGTATGTTAAATGTCACGCCTCTTTGACCTCACTCTCTCGTCTCGTCTCTTGTGGCTCCGAACACTGTCGCTTTGTGAGAATGTCGTCAGCTTTGGTACCGCTTCAACAACTGCTCTTTGTCCCCAAACTGAAGCTGTAATATACAGTACATTTGGTCTTGTGTTATGCATGTTGAAGTAGTTTCAAAGGCCCTGTATAGATGAATCCAAGGAATCATTCTTTTCGGCATTGCTTAGCTTGCCTGATATGAACCTACTCAATGTTCTGTGTGTATGAAAACTAAAACTAAAACTGCACTGCCCAGACTTGTTCTAATACTGTATAACTTGTGTTTTGCTGCAGTGGGTTTTGGCCTTTGAGATCTTCATCCCTCTGGTCCTGTTCTTCATCCTCCTCGGACTCAGACAGAAGAAACCGGCCATTCCTGTCAAAGAAGGTCAGCTAGTGTCTTTCACATTATACTCACACTTACAGTTTATCACCAGCTTTTTTCAGACACTTCTAGATGTGTCAAACATGTGGATCTGCTCTTCCTGTCCCATTTATTCTCAGTGTAGATTTGGTCGCACTCTATCTCTCACAGAAGTGTGGGAAAGTCAAAATTTAGCGCAGTATATGACATTTTTTGGGCTATCAAAGACGCCTCACATCTCGTTATTCAGTTACCACCACCAACTATTCACACACACCAGACTCATACTTGGCAATGTGGGTGAAGTGTCTTGCCTATGGACACGACAGCAGTTTGACACTTTACAGCCGCAGCCGCCCCACTGTGGCACCTGGTTTCGCAGAAGTCTCCCATCACGGTAATAACCAGGCACTACCCTTCATAGCTTGAAGATGCTGTCAGGATCTGGCTTTCACATGCAGGTGGCGCCTCAAACTCTTGAAAGTAAGTAATGAATCGATCAATGAATGTCATAATCACAAAAGATTAGCAATGTCTCATGATGAATTAATCGTAAATTGGAGGTGCAGATCTCAGCCTCGAGGTCTGCGCTATACGAGTTCCATGTCTTTACAAGAATCCTCCCTTTAACATATTGTACTGTGATTTGTTTTGCTAATACTGGGAGACTTGGTTGAACAGAGAGAGTGGATCCACATTTGCTGAGATTGAGACGCTTTTTGAGATTCAGACACTTTGATTTGTAACTTCTGTAAGAAATGAAATATTAAGACCTGGTTTGATTAATCCACCAAATGAATATGTGTGAGTTTGGGTGGATTTTATTTTTGTCACAACCAAAGATAAATTACTTTGTGTTAAATGTCTGATTTTGTTTATTTTCTGTCTGATTTACAGTCATTGATTCTGTTGTTCTGTTTCTTTTGTGCATGTTTTTGTCATTGATGGAGCAGTGTGTAAGTGAATCCTGTCCAAGTAAAATACAATACTACTACTACTACTACTACTACTACTACGACTGCTACTACGACTGCTATAACTGTGCAACTACTGCTACTGCAGCGACTACAGCTGCTACTACTACTACTATTGCTGCTGCTACTACTACTGTTGATTCTATGGTATTGTATGGTATGATTTTTATTCTTACAGGGACAGTGTACAATAAACGTTAGCCAAGAGAAGAGATGCATTGTACCAGGTGGTAGCAGCAGTGCTAATTTACACCTGTAGTCCCTAAACAGCAACTACAGGTTGCTTTTACTACTACCGTTACTACTACTACTACTGGTACTACTATTACTATTGCTACTACTACTACTATGACTATGACTATGACTACTACTACTACTACTACTACTACTACTACTACTACATAAATTACCGCAATAATGTGATACTTCTGTGTGCAGTTCCTAATCCTCTCCATGTCTGATCTTCCATTTTTTTAACCCAGAACCCATTTTTTCTTAGTTCAAATTTGTTATATTGTTATGATACAAAATGGTTGCATATCCCGGTAGTGCTGTATTTAATATATTTCTATTAAAGAAAGAACACTTTTCAACATTGTGTTCTTGTTGAACTAACATTCAACAAGAACACAAAAACACAACAAAAACAAAACAAAATATATTGACCAAAAACACTAAGGTACAACCCTGAACAGAAAAAACAGGGAAAAAAAACAAAAAATAAGTAGTACTTGTTTTGCTCTTGCACTCTGGAGATTTGGTGTTTGTGTCTCTGTGGTTGAAACATCTCTTTGGGTCATGAATCAGAAACTCCTGCTGTACTCCTCGGTCTAACCTTCTCTCTGTGGCGTCTGGGCAAAGTCAACATGGATGTTTTATCAAGAAATGGTTTCAATTTTTGTTTGATACAAATACAGCAAAATACAAACAACAACAACATTTGCAAAATAAAACAGAAACTAAACAGGACAGCCACGCCACCTGACAGGTTTCCCACATTGAAGGATGGGTCAAATACAGAGGACAATGTTATGGGGGATGGGGCCAACCGGAGAGCCTGGAGGAAACCCATCTAGACGTGAGGGGTAACGTGCAAACCTCCACACAGAAAGGTCCGGAAATTGTTCTTATTGTTCTTCGTTGAATGAATCAAGAAATATCCATGTTCTTTACCCAGGGGTCCAACTAAACTGCATCTGTTTGGATCAAATACCTTTAATCTATGTAACAACATGTTTGATTGTAATAATAATAACCATAGACTGTATACATAGTGCTGGCATTACCATAGTGATACTCCTGGTAAAATCTTTTTTAAATTTCTCCATTGTGAAATCAATATAAAAAAATCAATATTAATGCGGTAGAAGCTGATTTGATCATAAGCTAGCTGAAGACAATTTCCATATAACGGCATTTGTTCTTAAAAGGTTAGCTTCGTGCTGTAACGGGGGCAGATGTGTCGCTAAGGTGATTGCTAAGGCAAGCTAGAGTTTTCTCTGTGAATGAAGGCCTCTAATTGGTCAATACTTACGGCTCATGTCTGTTTGGATTTTTGCAAGCCCAAAATGGAGAGTGTTACACAAACGGTTTCTGAGCTGGAGGAGTTTTCTTTTCAATGTACGTCAATAGGAGCCAGAGTGAGTTGGAGCAAAACTTTCATTGAGCTAGCAGGTTAGCATTGTCCATCTATATACAGTCTATGGTAACAACGTCATTCTAACAGGGTGTTAACATGAGTTGTGTGTGCGCAGCGTTCTACAGCGCCGCCCCTCTGACTTCCGCTGGTATCATCCCCGTCATGCAGTCGCTCTGCCCCGATGGACAGAGGGACGAGTTCGGGTTCCTGCAGTACAACAACTCCACGTGAGAACCTCTTTAAATAAACCTGACACTAGGACAATTTGGACTATATAACTATAATAAATGTAACTAAATGTAACTGTAATTGTGATTTATTTATGAACTTGTTGCAGCCCTAATGCAAGGCTTTCAAGTAAAGCCACAAAACAAGAGAAAACATGGAAACAAATAGATAAAAATGTAAACAATGGAAAACAGTGAATGGATCCAAAGTCGCAGAAGGAGCGAGTGGTTTAGCTCTTTTATTATACAGCCTCAATACGTCACATCCCTTCTCTGGCGGTCTCTTCAGGGTCACTCAGCTGCTGGAGAGGATCCAGGAGGTCGTGGAGCAGAACCGGATCTTCTCCTCAGATGGACCGGCTTTAGGCACCGAGCTGGAGAACCTTCAGAAACACTTGCAGAACCTCAGCTCTGCGCCTGAAGATCTCGCTCTGAACCACAGCTCAGGTAACCCCAGCAACGCCATACTGCCCGTTTAAAGGAGACATGTCACCACTATTTTGGTCAGAATAATTTGCCGCAATGACCAATATATATGGTTGAAAACACAGCCAGGATATTGGCTGTTGTCCAATCTCAACACCCAAAAGATAGGTAGGAGGTAGGACAATAAATTTGCCTGGCCTGCCAAACGATATGCTTTTTCAAAGACATATAGTCTGGGAACGAGATTGATCTCAGCGAATTCCCGGTGGGCGTGGTTGACAGACTGCATCAACCAATTAGATGCACACAGGATATGACGCAGCAACTAGCGGCACCCAAGCCGTTTCAGTAAACACAAAACAAGGGATGGCGGCATGTCAGCTAGTGCAAATGTAAACGACTGCTGTCGATTTTGTAACAAAAACTTAAAGATACGAGGAGTTATTAGCAACTCAATTCCGTTGTTTGCTTCCGCCTCTAGGTGAAAGGAAGTCCCGCCTCTCGGTGCGTGATTGGACCGATGTGGGTAAAATCGTGAAATGATAGGCTAGGAAGAGGTGTCCAGACGGTTCTTCTTTTGAACAGAAAGGAGGAGTGTCTGGCAGGCCAGGCAAACAATAAATGGCTTCACACAACCTCTAAAAAAACCTCTAAAAAGTATTTTTAATTTCTACAAATAATGGCCAAGACAATGCAATCTGTGGCTGGGTGCGTAAACGCGCAGGCACATCTGTATTTTATTATGTCATCATTGAAAGTACGATTGTATATTGAGTACATTGTGTTGCAGGCTTCTCTCTGTCGGAGGTGCTCAGTGACCCGGCGGCGTTCCACAAGTTTCTTATCTCAAATCTTTCTCTGAGTGAATCCTCGGCTGAGTTTCTGCTGCAGCGACGCCTCAGCTCGGCCCAGGTGACGTGATGTAGTGACATTTTACACTGTAGAGCTTTTCCGAACCAAAGACGGATACATTCTGTGCAGATACTTACAGTCTGAACTGTACCATTTGATTTTTCCCAATTTGGAGAAAAGTCATTGTAGTGTTTTTGACTATTGCTGCTATCTAGCTATACAGTGATACATTAGATAGAAGTCTGACCTTCTGTATATGCAATCCGCCCTCTGTCAATCAGGTCCACAGTCTGATTTTTGGAACATCGCGAAAAGATGAAAACGTGCGCAAGCGAAGAGGCTCCAGCTCTGAAGCAAAGATCCACCATCTACAGGTGACGGGAAAATGCACTAAAGATACTACATTATGTCGCTGTATCGATTCAAGCCTCGTCATCGTTTTGTTCTCATCCATCTCCTTTTTTCCTGTTTATGTGTTTGTTTTATAAAAACTCTTTAAAGTTGTTACATTGTAAAGTTGAGCTGTTGAGTTGTAGCTTTTAGGAGAGAAATGTCTCGTTGAACAAGTCCAGGGATACCGTGTTGTTTCCATTGATACAGACAGAGAGAGAGAGAGAGAGAGAGAGAGAGAGACCTTCATTCTCTCTTGAGGTATATTTGTTTCTCTGCTCCACTGTCAAATACATAGATCACACACATCAAAGAAACACATGTTCAATACACATAAAATTGGAGACAAATGGGACCCTACATCTCTGCTGACTTGTTTGATGAGAGAAATTTACAGACAGTGCCAAATGCTTTGTGTAGTAAACACTGAAGCATGATGAACCCCGTGAATCATGGAATACAACTGGGATTAGTCTGTTTTGATTTCTTCAGTCTTCATAATACTGTTGTACTTCTCCCGCCTTTCCTGTAGGAGGCGCTTCTGGGCGGAGTGCGTGGTCTACACAGAGGACTCCTGGACCGGGTTCTTCTGGACCCCAGGTCCGCGGCCCAAAGACCGGCTCTCCTCCGAATAATGTCCAGAGTCCTGGGTCTGACGGAATCAAAGGACCAGAAGCAAGACCAACAAGCACTCAAGGAGGCCCAGGTAAAGTCTTTTCATTTACTTTCATAGAAAAGTAAAACACACCATTTTGGGCTTGAGAATTCCGTGTTTTAATGCTATGTTTTGAAATCAAAATACAACCAGTAATAACTAAAAGAATAGCACAACCAGAACGGATCTGCCTCACTCCTGATTGGTTTAATCCAAAAGGGCGCTCAGGACACGTTAGAGTGACTGTGTGTCTCAGCTGTCCTGGGAACCCCTGTGTGGTGAGGGAAGTCTGGGCTTCTCTGCATAGACTGCTGCCCGTGACCCAGCAAGGATAAAGCGGAAGAAACTTTGGAAAGATATTGGCCTTGGTCTAAATCCCGGCCACAGCCAGACTCACTCTGTTTGCAGGGCGTCCTCTTGACCGGCTCCACACTGCAGTCCCTCACCTGTGCAGAAGAGGGCGCTGCTCTCGCTCAGCTCCTATTGGCTCCTGAGGTAGAAGGGGCGGAGCTTCAGGCGTATCGCGAGTCACTGTGCGGCGGGCTCCAAGATGAAAGGTCAAAGAAGTTTGAACAGCTGAGCGCAGAGCTGCAGGAGCAGATCGACAACGACAAACTCAACCACAAGGTACTGCAGCACTACAAGTATTACAAGTACTACAATACTATAATACTACATCTACTACAAGTATTACAAGTACTATTATTATTATGGTATTACACATAATATAATTCTACAGTATTTATGTATTCCAAATACATATTCAAATTCAGTTTATTTGCCAGACAAATATAGAAATTAAAACGCACTTAAAAGTACAAGAAATGTACTACATAAAAAAACGACACATTTTAAAAATACTGTTAAAAAATACTACAATAGATCCATGAAACCACTTGACTACAAGCAGGTTTGTGTTTTTGGGACGGCTTGTTAGAATGTAACCAGAGACTATATAGATGGACAATGCTAACCCGCTTGCTCAATGAAGCCCAATAGGGAAGTGCTCTTAGACAAAGATTTGCTTCTCGCTCTGGCTCCTATCTCTTCAGACAAACAGTCAGAACAGTGTAATAACTGAGGGCCGCCGTGTTGTTTAATGATCAAATATTGAAAAACAATGTGAAAAGCTGCATTTATTTTTTTGCTTCGACAATGACGGACTCTTTCTCCTCAGCTGTCCCTCTGGCCTGCTCCTGGCTCCCCGCTGCCCCCGTCTGGTCTCCGCGTATTACTGCAAGACCTGGCTGAAGTAGAGCGCCTCCTGCAGGACGTGGATCTGCTGTCGGGTTTAGCTCGACTGCTGCCCAAAGGAGCCTGTGCCAAACGGTGAGGGCCCTGAATGCGTTAGACCTAAGGGATTAAACCAGGACTAAACCAGGACCTTTTTCTGTCCTGGTTTAGTCCTGGTTATGTCCTGGTTTAGTTCTGGTTCAGTTGTGGTTTATTCCTTGTTTAGTCCTGATTCATTCCTGGTTCAGTCCTGGTTCAATCCTGGTTCACTCCTGGTTCAGTCCTGGTTCACTCCTGGTTCAGTCCTCGTATAGTCCTGGTTTAGTCCTGGTTCAGTCCTGGTTTATTCCTTGTTTAGTCCTGCTTCAGTCCTGGTTCAGACTTGCTTCAGCCCGGGTTCACTCCTGGTTCAGTCCTCGTATAGTCCTGGTTTAATCCCGGTTTAGTCCTGGTTTATTCCTTGTTTAGTCCTGCTTCAGTCCTGGTTCAGACTTGCTTCAGCCCGGTTCAGTCCTGCTTCAGTCCTTTTTTAGTCCTGATTCAGTCCCTTCTCAGTCCTACTCCTGTCCTGGTTTAGTCCTGGCTCAGACCTTGTTCAGTCCTGGTCCAGAACTGGTTTAATCCTTGTTAATTCCTGCTGCAATCCCTGTTTAGTCCTGCTTCAGTCCTGGTTCACCTTTCATTTTACGGATTATTTCTTTCCTCCATCTGATGCAGGTCTAACCGGACGTCCCCCTCCCCCACCACCTCTTCTTTGCCCCCAAACGCCACCACAGCAGCCGGGGGCAACAGCACAGAGACCCCAGGGACAGAGGAGGGCCACGGGGGGGCAGGGCGGAGTCGAACTGACAACCCGCACTCGCAATTCTCCGCCTTTGTCCAGCTGTGGGCCGGACTGCAGCCCATCCTCTGCGGAAACAACAGGTAAAGACCCAGACGCAGAGCCGAGCGAGTGATGGGAGAGAGAGGTGTAGGGTCAGAGAGTGTTTGGACTTGTGTCTTGTCTGATTGTGTGATTCCTGTTGTGCTGTGGTTGTGTTGTTCAGGAGGATCGAGCCTCAAGCGCTGAAGCAGGGAAACATGAGCTCTCTCGGCTTCACCTCCAAAGAGCAGAGGAACCTGGGGCTGCTGGTCCACCTCATGACTACAAATCCCAAAATCCTCTACTCTCCCATCGGCTCAGAGGCCGACAAAGTTATCCAGAAGGTCAGTCCTGCTTTAGTTATAGATATGTTTATATGATATGTCCCAGAGTTTTCTCACTTTTTCCCTCTGGGTTTATTTACTAGAGTTTTTCCTTGCTGGTGCAAGAGGGTCTAAAGACGGTTGTGATTATCCCGGATATTTAGGAACATTTATTAACATTTATGGACATTGGTCATCTGCCTCTTATGGACCAATGTGTTTTTATCATTGCATTTCTTATGTTTGAGCTGTTTGATTCTCTCTTATCTGTGTTGGCGAATGTAATGGTTTTGTAAAGTCCTCCAAGATAACTACTGATGTGATTTAGGGCTATATTTTTGTATAGCCCTAAATCACAACAGGAGTTATCTTGGAGGACTTTACAAAGTTAAAAGTTAAGTTAAAAAAGTCTATTTTCCAACACAGATCAGAGAATCAAACAGTTTGAACACGGGGGCCTTTATATAGTATTGGGACAAACATTTTTACCACTGTTTTCTGCTTCTGCTTTAGGCCAACGAGACGTTTGCATTTGTGGGAAACCTCACTCACTTCACTCGTCTGTGGCTCAACATCTCTGCTCAACTCAGGAACCTGCTGCAGGAGAATTCTCTGCACAGTCACCTGCTCTGGCTTCAGCAGGTCAGTGCTGCTGCTGCTGCTGCTCCTGCTGCTGCAGCAGTGTGTGTTTCTGTGTGTTTTTCTATGACAAATATTATTCCTATTTATTTTCTGTATCTAATATGTCACACCTGCATGTGAAAGCCAGATCCTGTCAGACCTCTGAAGCTAAGCAGGGCCTGGTTAGTACTGTGATGGGAGACCTATAAGAACACCAGCTGCCACAGCAGGGTGGCTGCGGCTGTAAGGTGGCAAACTGCGGGAGTCTCCGCCATAGACACTTCACCCACAGTGTGTGTGAGTGGTTGGTCGGTGTCGGAGGGGTTGATGCCACATACTGGTCTGCTTCTGTCAGTGTGCCCCAGGGCAGCTGTGGCTACAATAATTGTTTATGACCATCGTGTAAGAAGTGAATGAATGATATGTGAAGCGTCCAACTGTCTCATAAATATATCATAAAGGGCCTATCTCCAGACGTGGCCTTTCTGTGTGGAGTTTGCACGTTCTCCCCGTGTCTGTGAAGGTGTCCTCCGTGTGCTCCAGTTTCCCCTCACTGACCAATGTCTTTCTCAGGGTCACACAGCCCTGTCTAAAGCTTGGTATACATTAGATTTAGTTGAGTCCTTCTTCACTGCTTGTCTGTGTCCTCAGCTGTCCTCTGAGCTGCAGAGACGGCCTGGTCTCTTGGACCCGGACCAGGACCTGGACCAGGACCTACTTGCGTCTCTGACCAAAGGGAATTACTCTGTGCCGGACCGAAGCACGCTCCTGCAGCAGCTGGACATCATCGACAATGCAGCATGTCAGTGGAATCTCTTCATGGACAAGGTACTACTACTACTATTACTATTACTACTACTACTACTATTACTGCTACTACTTCTACTTTTACTGCTACTGCTGCTGCTACTATATTACTACTTTACTTAACTACTGACTTTACTTAACTTTACTACTTTACTACTATTTCTACTGGGAATGCTACTACTACTACTGATACTATACTACTACCAGAGGAGGGACAAAGTCATTGTTTAGCAAGTCACAAGTTAGTCTCAATTCATTGCCCTCAAGTCCCGAGTCAAGTCACAAGTCAAGAAAGGCAAGTCCCGAGTCGAGTCAAAGTCAAAGGCCAACAAGACTCAAGTCACGTCCCAAGTCCTACCATTTGACTTTCAAGTCCTCTCAAGTCCTTTTGACCGCGATTTGTTTCTTTTTGGTCTCCATATAATTTTTGTAGGCAAACAAAATAATCTTAGGAATCATTTTGCTGGCGCATTCTCGATGGTCTCTGACCCATGGACTAACATGTTGTTCCATGTGGTTGGCCATTGTCAAATCCAAACAATCTACGTGATTTGATTGGATGTTGTGGTGGATGCAGGCTCTCTGTTACACATGCACAGACCACACATAATCAGAGATAGAGCAGTCTGTGTCAACATACTTTTTATCTTTGGGATTTTTAATGGTAAGTAGCAAGTGCAGCATATATGAATAGTATGCTTATATTATAATTAATTAATCTAAGTATTGGGCTGGGACCAGAAGATTTGTGCAGCTCACGAGAGAGAGAGGTGTTTAAAATATAACAACAGAGACAGTGATACGGTGCAATTGTGAGTTATATTGACTGGAAAAGTATTTACAAAAGAGACATATATATGTATATATTTACAGAATATACAGTACATACAATATTTACTCTGAGTGTAGTGGTATGGAATGTGTGCATATAACAGCGTTTTGCTGTATCCATATAATTAGTTCAATGGCCGTAGTGGTTATTGTTCCAAATGTCCAGTAAAGGATAAGGAGTAGTCTGAGGGGTCTAGGCTTTGGGCCTGGGGCAGCTCGCCATCAGAAAAGGGGGCCAAAGGACTGAAGGGACCAACGTAACCTCGCCTGTATGAACAGGACCAGCATTAGTCATATCTCATAATTACCAATATATCATTACATAAGAAAAAGTCTCAAATACATTAATTCAATCAGTCAAAGTACTCATTCTCAAATCACTGCACTATAAACAATATTGCAAATATTAATCTGGCTTAGTGCACATAATCAAAACAATAATTTAATGTATCCAAACTTTTGCAGGAGGAGCACAGCAAAAAACATGCACATAATATTAGGCCTCGGCGCTCACACAGAAAAATATAAGAAAGAGCGCAGGCTAGCGCTAGCTACTAGCTCTGTTCAGAAACCCTAACGGTTTGACTCACCAGTTCCTCCTTAAAACATGGCACACAGTGTGACAACTGCGTCGATTCAACTGTATGAGGCACCTGTAGTGAAAGCATATCAATTACGGTTTGTGGAACAAAATACGCGCGAGTTCTACAGCTAGGCTTTTTTTCTTCAGAGGCGGTGTTCTGCCGAGTTGTGCCGCTTGCCGGGTTAAAAAGAGGGATGCGGAGAAACGTAAAAATTACCCGGATTACGCAAGTCTATACAAGTCTATTGGCGCAAGTCTAAGTGAAAGTCAGAGTCATTGATGTTAAAGTGTTTTTATATTTGGTCAAGTCGAGTCTAAAGTCATCCAAATCATGACTCGAGTCTGATTTGAGTGTAAGTCACATGACTCAAGTCCACACCTCTGACTTCTACTAATGCTATTGGAAGTACTACTGCTGCTGCTGTTGCTCAACAGAAAAACCTGAAAATGACGGTCCAGCACAACCCTTCGCACTGGCATTTGTGACCAAAGTATCCTGTTTAAATGAATGTGTTTTTTCAAAGTTGATGAAAAGTTGTGATCGGCCATTGTCCTGTTGCAGGTGAGCGTGGACGTGTTTAAAGGTTTCCCAGACGAGGACAGCATCGTGAACTACACCCTAAACCAGGCCTACCATGACAACGTCTCCGTTTTCGCCAGTGAGTCCCACAAAACCTGCTCCAGACCTCTGTCCTCTCAAAGCAGAATAACACTGTGAGGGCAGGCAGTGACCTCATTGTTGTGCTGCAGGTGTGATCTTCCAGATGGATCGCAGCGGCTCGTTGCCTCCTCACGTTCTGTACAAGATCCGTCAGAACTCCAGTTTCACAGAAAAGACCAACGAGATCCGCAGAGCGTACTGGAGACCGGGGCCCAACACCGGGGGAAAATTCTACTTCCTCTACGGCTTTGTCTGGATCCAAGGTCAAAAGACAGATCTGAACTATTGTGTGTGAAAAGCTAGGACCCTGGTGTGAGGACAGTTTTATGTATTTTGTTTCTTTAAAAGAGACAGAACAAAGACAGTTGCTACATTTAATCAGACTAATTTGCAGACTTGGTCCTCAACACAGTAACAAGAAACACGTAGATACCAAAAAGTAGAACAGCACAGCACTATATCACATCAACAGTTGTTTTAGAGGAATTTATAAAGTTGTCAATTCAGCAACAACTAATCAGAGAAATAAACAATTCAAACACTGGTAATTTAACAAATATGGGAGCGGGATTACCAATGTCCATAAGTGTCCCGGAACATCACTGTCCTGGTCCTGCATAGGCAAGGAACGACAAAAAAACAGTGGGAAAAATATGAGAAATGGGGGAGGCCTATATTGAGGTTGGAAATCCAAGACTGAGGCTGTAGATCCAGGACTGAGGCTGTAGATCCAGGACGGAGGCTGTAGATCCAGGACGGAGGCTGTAGATCCAGGACTGAGGCTGTAGATCCAGGACTGAGGCTGTAGATCCAGGACTGAGGCTGTAGATCCAGGACTGAGGCTGTAGATCCAGGACTGAGGCTGTAGATCCAGGACGGAGGCTGTAGATCCAGGACTGAGGCTGTAGATCCAGGACTGAGGCTGTAGATCCAGGACTGAGGCTGTAGATCCAGGACTGAGGCTGTAGATCCAGGACTGAGGCTGTAGATCCAGGACTGAGGCAGTAAATCCAGAACTGAGGCTGTAGAAACTGACTTGAATGCTCTCTATCCAAAAGTTTGGGATGTTATAAACTGTAGACACTCCTCTAGGTGTCACCTCTGGTCCAGACCTGGTGCCGAACTGTTTCTAACCCAGACTGTTTTTTCCAGACATGATCGAGAGGGCCATCATCAACACGTTTGTTGGACACGATGTGGTGGAGCCCGGGAACTACGTCCAAATGTTCCCCTACCCCTGCTACACCCGCGACGAGTAAGAGCAGGACTGGACAAAACCAGTCCAAGACACGGTTTGACTTAGAATAATGCATAATGATCTGAACATGCTAAACAGGACCGGACCAGGAATAAACCTGGACTAAAACAGGACTGAACCATGACTAAACCAGGACTAAACCAGGACTGATCCATGGACTGAACCAGGAATAAACCAGGAGTAAATCAGGAGTAAATCAGGACTGATCCAGGACTGGACCAGGACTGGACCAGGACTAAACCAGGACTGGACCAGGACTGGACCAGGACTGGACCAGGACTAAACCAGAACGAAACCAGAACGAAACCTGAACAAAACAAGGACTAAATCAGGACTAAATCAGGGCTAAATCCGGACTAAACCAGGACTGAACCAGGACAGAACCAAGACTAAACTGGGACTGACCCATTGCCTGCACAAGGTATAAACCAGGACTGAACCAGGACAGGACCAAGACTAAACCGGGACTGATCCATTGGCTGCACAAGGTATAAACCAGGACTAAACCAGGACTGAACCAGGATTGGACCAAGACTAAACCAGGACTGATCCATTGCCAGCACAAGGTATAAACCAAGAGTAAATCAGGACTATACCAGGACTGAACCAGGACTAAACCAGGACTAAATCAGGACTGGACGAGGACTAAACCAGGACTAAATCAGGACTGGACCAGGACTAAACCAGGACTGAACCATGGCCTGCACCAGGTATAAACCAGGACTAAATCAGGACTGAACCAGGACAAAACCAGGCCTAAACCACGACTCAACCAGGACCGGACTGATGGCGGTCTAACCCAGTGTTGTCGTGGCAGCTTCCTGTTTGTGATCGAGCACATGATGCCTCTCTGCATGGTGATCTCCTGGGTCTACTCTGTGGCCATGATGATCCAGCACATCGTGGCCGAGAAGGAGCATCGGCTCAAAGAGGTGAGACGACAGCAGCCACAGCCGCCCCGGGGCAGACCAACACTCAGTTTCAGTAGCTATAAGACACTTGTTTATTGTCAAGTCAGACTGGTGAAGCTAACGGTTAAGCTAGCTGTGATTTAACAACACCTTGTCATTAAATCATGTTGTGTCCAGTTAAAACAGTCGTCCATCTACTGCATTACAACATGAAAACCTGTGGCTTATATTCAAGTACGGCCTATATGTGGACTAAATTTATTATCTTGTTGAATGTAGGTGGTGCGGCTTATACACAGATGCAGCTTATAGTCCGGAAAGTACTTATAGTCCTATATGTGGACAAAATGGATTCACTTGTCAAATTTAGGTGGTGCGGCTTGTATACAGATGCGGCTTATAGTCCGGAAAGTACGGTAAAACCTCAAATTGACTGTTTGTAGTCGTAAAGTTTTAGAATACTGTTCTTCTCCCGCAGGTGATGAAGACGATGGGCTTGAACAACGCTGTACACTGGGTGGCCTGGTTCATCACCGGCTTCTTGCAGCTCTCCGTCTCCGTGACCGCTCTGACCGCCATCTTGAAATATGGCCGAGTCCTGCTCCATAGTGACCCCCTGATCATCTGGCTCTTCCTCTCCATCTACGCCACCGCTACCATCATGTTCTGGTAAAGAGGGCTTTGGGAGAACAGGGGCTGGTCTCACTCTTTGTCCCAGATCCTCATGCTTCTAACATGTACAGAATAGATGTATATACAACTATATACAATAATTCCTACTTGCTTCGTTATTGTGCTAAAATGAGAGATTGTATACTTGATTCTTGCTTCTTCGTCATGCTAAAGCAATTTTAGTCTTTGCTAAAGCTAGAGATTCAGATTAAAGTTAGAGATTTTATTATATTCTAATTTAGTTTGCATGTGAAATAATGCTTCAATAGCAGGAGAGATCTTAAACTAACTTTTGTAATAGTTGTGCTCTGGTTTATGCAAGGACTAAACCAGGACTGAACCAGAAGTGAACCAAGACGGACTCAGGACTAAACCAGGACTGAACCACGGACTGAAGTTGGACTGAAGTGGGACTGAAGCGGGACTGAAGCGGGACAGAATCATGGAGCGAAACCAAGGCTAAACCAGGACTGAACCAGGACTGAACATGGACTGAACCATGGACTGAACCATGGACTGAACCATGGACTGAACCATGGACTGAACCATGGACTGAACCGGGACTGAACCGGGACTTAACTGGAACTAAACCATGGACTGAACCATGGACTGAACCAGAGTTATTGTTCCCTTTTCATGTGCTGTTTGCTCCTCTTTCCTTCTGAAGTTTCCCGACTGTGGAACGAATAATCTTCACCACTCTGAATTCTGTATCTGCAGCTTCCTGGTGTCGGTGCTCTACTCTAAAGCCAAACTGGCCTCTGCTTGTGGAGGAATCATCTACTTCCTGAGCTACGTGCCGTACATGTACATCGCCATCAGAGAAGAGGTGGCCCACGACAAGATCACCGCCTTCGAGAAGTGTATTGCTGTGAGTAGTGCAGCAACACGACTGAGACTTGTCACGGTCGGTGTTTTCTTACTGCAGACCCATGTGTTTTGGCCTGCGAGAAAGTTTGGCAAGACTTTGAGACCTGTGTGAACATTTTCACCACAGGAACGTGTCCAATTATAAGAATCAAAACTGACTGTGAAAATCAGTCTTCTAAAGTCATGGAATGAACCAGGACTAAACTAGGACTGATTCAGGACTGATCCATGGACTAAACTAGGACCCATTCAGGACTGATCCAGGACTGAACCAGGACTGAACCAGGACTTAACCAGGACTGAATCTGGACTGAACCAGGACTGAACCAAGAAAAAAAGACTAGGTCAGGAGGCAGGATGAATGGCAGGTCGCACAGACATGCCAGTCTGTCTCTCAGTGTCTGAAGAAGAGGGGACCTGCTTTTTGCTCAGGAAAAAAGCCCAGAAAGCATGATATATTCTCCAGTAACGGCACAGACAATACCCATAGAAGGGGCAACAGGAAGTACAGGTTAAAAGAGGAAGCGACAAAGACATTTTTACTCTAAATACAGTCTATGTATAGTCAAATATTTTCATTGAGAGTTACATTTAAAGCAAGTGCGGAGTCCCAGATTTTTCCATTGTCCTTTAGTTCAATATTTGCGATGTTTTGGCCTCCAACAGCCTGAACAAACTGTGTCTCTCTCCCAGTCCCTGATGTCCACCACCGCCTTCGGCCTGGGCTCCAAGTACTTTGCCCTCTACGAGGTGGCGGGCGTGGGAATCCAGTGGAGGACCATCTGCCAGTCTCCAGTAGAGGGCGACGATTTCCACCTGGGCCTGTCCATGATGATGCTGGTGTTGGATGCAGCGCTCTACGGCGTCCTCTGCTGGTACATCGAGGCTGTGCACCCAGGTATACCACGAGATCCAACATGTCCACCCATGGCATGATTGTCCACCCCATGTCCATGATTAGGAATGCGGACACCTCCCTCTGGGGTTAGAAAGTCATTATGTGTGTATGTATGGTAATGTATGTACGTATCATCTATAATATGTAATTGCTGAAAATTCCTGTTTATAAACTTGAAATAAATCAAATTACAAAGTATTATGGCCAGAGATGATGCAGAATATTCCTTTGTATTTGTAGTAGTTTTGAAAAGCTGATAAAGCTTATGTTGTAATGGAGGCACACTTGAACAGTTCCTCTCTCTCTCCACAGGCATGTATGGCCTGCCCCGGCCCTGGTACTTCCCCTTGCAGAGGTCCTACTGGACGGGCAGCAGCCGCGTGGACACCTGGGAGTGCTGCGGAGGGAGGAGCACCCACCTCAGCATCATGGAGGAGGACCAGGCCTGTGCCATGGACCAGCGCAGATCTGGTACCAACTGCACACAGACGCACCGTCGTATTTCAGCCCTTAAACATGATCTATTAGCTTTCACTTTTTACATGTTTTAACTTGGAATAATATCTGTGTATAAAAGACATAGTTAGGTTGCACTCCTTACGATGTAAGTGTTAGCTTTACAGCAGTGGGTACAGTCTATTATAGTGCACAATGAGAGGACATACAAATGATAAGCTCGCGTTTTAAGAAATCCTTTACTCGTCCCACAGTGGGGGAATTTCAGTTTGCACAGAAATGCATAAACCAGTCAGGCCTGGCTTAAACTTCCAACAGGAATTTGCATAATATGCCTGTATATTATGCAAATTAACATTTTGGAGTTTTTAGCCGTGTTACAATATTGTTCCGTCATTAAACACGAACCTGGAGTTGTTTTTATCTCCAGCCATGCTAATATCAGGAACCTCTGTCTCAAATTGCCTTCAGTCCTGTATGATATCATTGAACCATTAAGATGTTCCTTTATTCTGCCCTCAGGAGGGAGATTTTAGCGTCATCGTTGCGCACATTACAGCAGAGAAAGAAGGAAATAAGAGCACTAAGATTGCACATCAGTCTATTATTTGAGATAATAGACAATAGAATTTAAATAATACGTTGGTAAAATAGAATAAAATAAAATAAACTCACTTATGACATCACACTGAAATTGACTTAAATTATGAATTATGGACAAAAGACTTGTATGTAATAGTTTTGGTAATTTCTCAAATAGAATCATTTCTAAAACATTCTAAAATGCGTAAATTTCAGTCCTGTGTCCTTGTTCCAGAGGAGCTGCGAGGGCTGGAGGAGGAGCCCAGTCACCTGCCACTGGTCGTCTGCATCGACAAACTCACCAAAGTTTACAACAAAGACGGAAAAGTGGCCCTGAACAAACTGAGCCTGAACCTGCACGAGAACCAGGTGGTGTCCTTTTTGGGCCACAACGGAGCCGGCAAGACCACCACCATGTGAGCTTCCCCCAAAATAAACAGAATGAAAAAAAAAGTACATATATTAACAATTGATGAATGTTTTAAAGCTGGGGTACCTAACTTTCAAACCACAATCTTTTTTACTAGTTCCTTGCTCTCACAACAGTTTTCAGATGTACTGTATGTATATTTGGTTACATCTTCAGATCTGCTTTTTATGAACATGCAAATGAACAAAAATAGGACTACTCCCACTCAGCTCTCAGCCCAAAGTGACAATTAGTGACTCACAAGGCTCTCTCTAAAAACTATGCCAAAGATATCATGTTTTATATCAAGATGAAGACAGAAGTTTACTTTGACCACTGCAAAAAATGATGAAATATGAGGTAATAATTGCTTGAATCTTAAAGTAGTTTTAATCTTAATTTGAGCACATTCTGACTGTCTCAAAACCAGATGTGCCAATGGGACAAGCTTAATCTTATTTATCTTTTTAAAACAAGATTAAGTGTCTTCTTAAATGAGTCATTAGACTTTTTTTCTTCTATTTTTCTTTTTGTATTTCTCTGTGTCTTGTAGTGTCATATTATTGTCTTTTGTATGGACCCTGAGTCTGGAATAAAGATTAGTACTATTATTAATATTATTATACTCAGCTTGTCCCATTGGCAAATCTTGTTTCAAGGCAGTCAAAATGTGCTCAAATTCTGTAACTTGAAAAAATGAAGCTTTTTGTTATCCTTTTACTTGGCATTAAATAAAATAAATCGTTTCGTAATTGTAAACGTTTGGGGGGAAAAAACAATTTGAAGAAGGTATAGCAGGTTGTGGTTGTGGATATATTGAAGGTTATCAGTCTACTGTCATAATAATAATCAGATTGATGAATGAAAAAAGAAAAATATGCAATACTATTTCGATGTAGTAGTTATTGTAAGTGACTTGGTTGTTCTGCAGTTGTCAAAGAACTTTATGAAGTGAATGAGATATTAGCAGTTGCTTTAGAAATATCTCTATTTAAAGAGATCTATAGTGCTTAACACATTCAAAAAGCGTTGAAGTTAAGGAACATTTTGAGTAATTTTTTATTTTTTTTTCCCTTTTTGCAGTGATAAGACTCTTTCTGTTGAGAAAAACAACATTTATTATTTATAGCAGAAAAGTCAGGCACCCCAGCTTTAACCAGCGACTGTAACTATTGCTTTTGAAAGTCAAACTGGACTTTTTGGCAGGACTTCAACGCACACAGCACAGACAGGACTGGGGACTACTCCATGGACAGCGATATTTCATTAAGTGCCTCCTTGTCTTAGGTCGATTCTCACCGGGTTGTTTCCGCCCACTTCCGGTTCGGCGACCATTTATGGGCACGACATCCGCACAGAGATGGACCGGATCCGTCAGAACATGGGCATGTGTCCGCAGCACAACGTCCTGTTCGACCGCCTCACCGTGCACGAGCACCTGTGGTTCTACTCACGGCTCAAGGGCGTGCACGAGGACGACATCCGCAAAGAGATGGACAAGTAAGTAATGCCAGGCAAGGAAGTTTATTTGTATGGCACAGTTCATACACACGCCAACTCAAAGTGCTGAACAGATACAGTAAGGTTCAAGTTCAAACCCATGACTAAAGCATGTGGCCATTGTATAGTTGTAGTCCTTTGTCATTTACACCCGTCTTGTTCTTCGTGATGTTTTTACCTGTTGAAGTAATTTATTCAATTCAATTCAATGTATTCTTGTTTAGCCCTAAATCACAACAGTAGTTTTTTGGAGGACTTTACAAACACATAGAGCCATTGATCCATTAGGGGCAGAGACCAATATTGAGTTTTTATCAATAATGTATAATGCTGAGTGTCATCAACAGCACGTTATAAAACTGAATTGACTGTAAATATTTAAGGACGCCCTTGGAACTAATGTGCCACCACCTTTGCCTACTGTGGGCTTTTTCAAAATGGTCGCGGGGCAGGAAAACGTGAAAAACCGCATTTGTGCATGCGTCAGACGGCACGAGCCCCATTCATTTGAACAAGTGCATTTCAAGAGTCCATAGCGGCTAAACTAGACTGGTCCAAGAAAAAAAAAAAATACTCCTCTCAGCATTGACACATCTGGAACGTAGCGTTGGGCCAAGAGCCAATTTTTGGACCATCCTGTAAAGCCGTTTTTGAGAGGTAAGAAGACGCCATACAAAAGCATTGGGTAATTCTCTTTCCTGGTCCACCCCCACAGGCCCAGAGTTGTATTGCAAGTATGTCAGCGCACATGCTCATGGACCTTTTTGAGCCGGGACCTGCCCCCACCGTATAAAACCAATGCATAACTATTATTACTCAAACTGTGTTCTCTGCAGGATGATCGTGGACCTGGGGCTGTCACACAAGCGCCACAGTCTGGTGCAGACTCTCTCCGGAGGCATGAAGAGGAAACTGTCTGTGGCCATCGCCTTTGTAGGAGGTTCTAGAGCAGTGATCCTGGACGAGCCCACAGCCGGAGTGGACCCCTACGCCCGAAGAGCCATCTGGGACCTGATCCTGAAGTACAAGCAAGGTGAGAGGCACAAGAGGCGCTTTGCTGCTTTAAAAGAAATAAACTTTGAATATAAAAAAATAATAATAATAACAATTGTAAACCGCTTTGTGACTCTGGTCTGTGAAAGGCGGTATATAAATAAAGATTACTTACTTAATATGAATGTTACTCTTCTGGTCATTACGGGTGTGCTGAGAAAAAAAAATAGATACAACAATTATTTCTTTATTTAGTAATAAAAATGTGTTAGGATCTTTTTGTTGTAATTCAAGTATATACACTAAATTGAACTCTCTTTGAACCAGGGCGGACTATCCTGCTGTCCACACACCACATGGATGAGGCAGACCTGCTCGGGGATCGGATCGCCATCATCTCCCACGGCCGGCTGCAGTGCTGCGGCTCGCCCCTGTTCCTGAAGAGCACCTACGGAGACGGCTACAAGCTCACGCTGGTCAAGAGGCAGAGCGACCGAGGTGAGGCCAGCTCCAGGGTGGATCCTGCTGGTTCTGCCCATGTTCACTCCAGGTTTAGTTTGGATGTGCGAGATACACAGTCTGTATACTGGGGATGGGCATACAGTATCTGACCTGCTACCTGTCACATTAATAGTTTATAGAAGTAAAATCCCAATATTAAATAGTTTGAAGACACAACAGGGCTTTGGTTTTTACTAACCTGGAGCAGTTTTCAGCCTAAAAAGCAAAATGAAAACAGAAAATTTTCAATTATGTATTCATTATGTTTTTGACACGTTTTAAAACTGTCCAAAACATACTTTGATTACAAATGTAGATCTTGTGGTAATTACTTTTCAAATATCTCATCAAGAAATCATTAACTTTCAAAATTCCTATGCAGATTTTTAATGCGGAACTATATTTTCAGAACCTGCAGGCTTCACAGTGGTTTTAATGATCAGGTTTTAACTTTCAGGGTCACTCTATTGTCTTTTTAAGCCTCAAAAAACAATTGTTTTTACTTTGTGTTCTGGGACTATTAATATCTTTTTACCTACCACATCTCTACTGATGTCTGTGTCCTGCTCTTCTTCCCCAGACCCTGCGCAGCCTCCTCCCTCTCCCCTCACCCCTCCCTCTCTCTGCTCCGAGCCCAGGGTCACTCAGTTCCTGCGTCAGTTCGTTCCGTCCTGCCTCCTGGTGTCGGACTCAAACACAGAGCTGTCCTACATCCTTCCCACAGACGCCGCGAGGAAAGGCGGCTTCGAGCGACTCTTTCAGGTCAGACCCCAAACGCTAAAAGCAGCAGAGTTCAAGCCACACATTTTGGGGCCCTGAAAAGAAATAGTCTACTTCCGCCGATAAAAGTTTGAAGTTAGAAATCTATGTTACAAATATGATAAAAATTGTATGTGCAATGTGGTGTGCAGGGCAGGGCCTGGTTAGTAATGTGATGGGAGACCGCTGTGATCACCAGGTGCCACAGGGGGGCGGATGCGGCTGTAAAGTGCCAAACTGTCTAACTAACGACTAACTAAATGGGTAAGGATTAGGGTAATTGTTAAGGTACACTAATTAATTGGTGAGGGCTAATCTAAAGTGTTACCAATATTTCCAATAAAAAATTAGGCTGCAGTACTAAGGGTGGCCTTTGAGTACATAATGTAGTTGGCCTTAAGCGAGCAATACCCTGATATTGTAATAGTCCAGATATTATAATTGATCCACGTGAGCGACCGGGAGACTAAGGACATATGAGATGAATAAATCTTATCTTATCTTATGATTGCTTTGTTTTGTGAAGGATTTTGTCTGCATTCTGCATCTGTAATTGTGCTCACTCCCCAGTCTCTCTTCTACCATCTCTCCTCTGGTTCTGCCTCAGGCCCTGGAGAGCAGCCTTCACAGCTTGGCCCTGACCAGCTTTGGGCTGATGGACACCACACTGGAGGAGGTGTTCCTGAAGGTGTCTGAGGAGGACCTGTCTGTGGAGAACACCGATGCAGGTACTCCCCCTTCACAACTACTGCAGAAAGTCCAAAGTAGTTGTTTTTTTCTATTTCTTGCTTTTTTCTAGCTGTAAGTTTTAACAATGTTCCTGGTTTTACACTGATCCTGACCAGAGCAGAAAGGATTCACGGTCTGAACAGATCAAGCGTAAATCCACTGGAGGAAAGCTAATTTTATTTCGGAAAATGCTGATAAAGCATTCAGAATTTCACTCTGGACCAGAGCAGAGAAAATGATCCAAACCAAGCAGACTCTACATACTGTACTTGAACCAGAGGAAGCAGCTCATTACCAGCGGCTTCACCACCTTGGCTGCTGTGACCTAAAGTGCTGTTGCACTTTATTACTATTGTTTTAGAATCGTGTATTTATTTATATGGATGGATGTGTTTCTGATGCTGACACCAGAATTTCTCTTACAGGGGACCAACAAAGTAACTATTTTTCTAACTTTCTATTGTTATAGAATTATATACCCCATGAAGGAGAAAACTCAAAGGTCCTTTGTCTGATCAAAAGCGTAAGTTTATTGTTAACGCACAGTGCGGAGAGCCAGCACATACACTCCAAAAGCAGCATGTCCCAGCTCTGGGGGCCAGAGCCCCGAGCTTCCTGTATACAAGACACACACCAAAGATAGTCACGCCCACAACGGAGCGGAGGGGGCCACCGGTGAGGAGGCGCACAGGAAGCGCCGGCGCTATCCCCTGTGGTGGCAGTGGCATGGGGTGTGAACAGACAGACAATGGTGGAAATGCAGGTCATACAGATGCAAGACGGAAAGACACAAGGGTGTGACAGACAGCAGGGACCTTCACAAAGCTCAGCATGGCGTCAGAAGGTCGTCTGCATTGATAAAAGGCCTTTGACGTCCGTGTATTTGCTGCGGCTGGTTTTAATGTAATTACTCCAAAAACTGTCACCACACTCCCCTCTTTTGATAATTCAAAACCATTTTTGCATTAATCAGTTAAATACCAGAGGCATCGTAATCACACCACCTTCAAGCTTGAAACACTTAAATTATTGCTGTCCAAAGTGGACAAGAAAAGACACATGCTTGTCAATAAAAGAAAGAGCACATTATAATAACACAATGGATCCGGACAGCGATAAGAGAAGGCAATATTAACATAATAAACACGGTCAGCACGGAAAGTAGTGTCAGTGTGGCCAGCATAACAGTCCAAGGGCCCATGCCGGTCTACGTTCGGTAGTCTTTTCCGCGGGAATACTCACGAGCAGTGCCGTCTCGCAGTCAGTGGCACCGCTCCCTATGAGCGTGTGTGGAGCGTTAGTGGTCATGGCGATGTTTGGTCTTGGAGCGGCAAGACTCTAATTGCGTTGAAGCCTTGGCCTCAGCACTCGGTTGGGCAGAGTGCTCGGGGTTTGGGGTGTGGAGACCATGGCTTGAGCACGCTCCAGATCGGCCAGGCCCAAAGCTCATTTGATGGGAGACCTCATGACAGCACGCTTCACCATGTGCCTCATCAGGAACTGTAGAGCAGCCCTCATCTCCACCTCCTCCGGACACACGGGAGACGAGACACCAGGGGGGCACTCCAGCAGAGCTCAAATCTGCATTATGGCCAGAGGGAACAAGCTCTGGAGAAATCTTTGGAATGGGCAGCAGCTCTGCATACTTGCTGCAGCTGAGCAGAGCGCTCAGGGCCTTCATGGCTCCCAAGCCTTCGGATCCGGGGGCTGGGGAGTTGGGCAAAAGGGGGGTCGCCTCGGGAACGCTGGGATTCTCTGGGTGTTGTTGTTGGCCTGCTTCACCGACGGTGGCCGCACGCCAGCCGACTTCTTCATCGTAGGGAGCCGCGGATGGGCCTGGTCCGTCCGCGCCCTCGGTGTCCTCGTCTATGGCCCTCAGTGGCAGCACCGCACGACAGTGGTTGGCGTGGATCCAAGTTGTCCTCTCCGCGACCTTAACGGCAGTGTCCGTCACCAGGAGGGCGAGGAATGGGCCGAGCCAGCGCTTGGACCGCCAATGCTTTCGTCTCGTTTCCTTCACCAGGACCCAGTCGCCTGCGCAGCCTGTGGCAGGGCGCTCCTGACCTGGGCAGAAATAGAGGACAAAAGTGCATTAATTTCCTTACAATAGGACAGCATGTCGTCATCACACAAAGAGGTGCTTGGCAGATCTCTGTTCGGGGGTCCCGCGCCCAACGTGGGGCTAGCGGCAGAGCTTTGAGTGCCATTCTCTCGCTCGCACGTGCCTCCGGACCAGGGGGCGTAACTGCAGTGTTTACGTATATCAATGCCCAGAAATTCACCCACTTCCTCAATGATTTTTGCTACAAAGTGACTGCCAGTGTCACTAGAGATTTTTTCTCGGGGCACAATTTTTGTGAGCAGAGCTTTCACCACCGCGTTGCTTGTGGCGTGTATGCCTGCAAATACTTCAGTCCATTTGGACCAGAGATCCGCCAGAACCAGACAGTATTACTTACCTTGGCATGGTGTGAGTTCAACAAAGTCCCTTTGGACATGTTGAAATGGGCGCAGGGGCGGAGGATGAGCAGCCTGTTGGATACTTTTGGGACTTACCTGGGTTGTGCGCGAGGCATATAGCGCATGTTTGGCTGAATCTCTGTGCAAATGCCGTAAACCCCTTTGTATACCAATTCTGTGTGATTAAATCACACATCATCCCTCCTTTTGAGGCATGGTCCCGACCATGTGCTAAAATTGCAAACTGTCTGAAGAAATGCCGTGATAGGCACGGTTTGCTGTCTGGTCCCAGCCACACACACCATGCCGTCGTTGAGCCCCATTCCCCTCTCACAGCAGCGTCTCTGCTGGAGTAGAAAATATCAACGTCTTGAGTGAGGTAGTGTGTGTGTGTGTGTGTAGAGGTGCGTATGCCGCTGCCTTGTCCGCGCGCCGATTCCCTGCAGAGATGGGATCAGTGGCATTAGTGTGGGCCTGGCATTTGCATACAGCGATCTCTAAGGGCAACATTACAGCTCTCAGCAGACGTTCAACCTGTGTGGAATTAAGAATTGGTTTACCATCAGATTTCATAAAATTGCGGTGTTTCCACAGTGCTTCCCAGTCGTGCACCACAGAGAAACCATAGCGCGTATCACATAATATGTTAACAGTTTTGCCCGCTGCCAGCTCACACGCCCCGGTGGGCGCGACCAGCTCAGCGGTTTGTGCTGAGTGGTAGTGGGGCAAACTACCAGAGTCTATAGTATCAAAATCAGAACACACAGCATAGCCGACTCGGTTCTTCCCAGTGTTGTCACGTGACGCGGCTCCGTCTGTATATAAAAAAAATCAAGTCAGGATTAGTCAGAGGCACCTCTTTCAGGTCTGGCCTGGGAGTGCATATCTGTTCTATTGTGGCGATACAGCAGTGTTCCTCCCCTTCCTCTGGCGTGGGCAGCAGCGAGGAGGAGTTCAGCTGTGTGCATTCCTTCACCGTAGTTCAAAGAGCACCGTGTTGTACCCCAGCCAACGAGCCGCAGAAAGGCGAGAGGCCCTCTGCTCTAACAGGATCAGGGAAACAGCATGGGGCACAAGCAAAGTTAGTTCAGTGTATCCCACAAGGTCACGTGATGCTAGGGCCGCTTTCTCAGCGGCAGCCACAGCCCGCAGGCAGCGAGGCAACCCTGCTGCCACGGGATCGAGTTTTGCTGAGAAGTAAGCAGTGGGTCTCAGTGGCCCTCAGTGAGGCTGCAAAAGTACCGACTGTTCCGTTCATCTCCAGTTGCTTTTCTCCCGGATCGTCCTCAATTCATATTGTGGGCTTTTGTGCCAAAGTGGAGGCTCATTTCCTCCTGATCCATACTACTGTCATCCCTGGAGCAGGGGTAGTTTATCTCTCATCTGAAAAAGAAATATCAGAACACAAAAAAAAAACACAAAAAATGCCCACTTTCGCTTGTCAATCTTTTTCCCAATTGGGCAAAACATAACTGCATTGACAGGTGGTGTGTGGCATCAGGGCGGAGGCTGTAGCCAAATACAGAACAACAAAATGTATGTTTCTAATTTTATACTCCCCTAAATGTGAGTTTACAAACCAAAGTTGTCCTCCGCCCAATGACCGCTCACTGCGGTTGGACCGAATCACTGTCAGGGCAAACAGCAGAGGGAGGAACTCCCAATATCTTCAGCGAGGTATTTCATCTCCGAGTACTTTCCGCAGAGTACTTTTCTCAGAGTACTCATCCCAGAGTACTCTCACTTTTACACCTGTTTAATAAAGGTCGTTATCTTTGAATCTCTAGTATTTACACCGTATGCTGTTGACAAAAAAGAATTATTCCATGATCACATTAAAACATTACAGACACATTTGTTATTCCATTCTCCGTTCAGCATTCCTCATTTCACTCCTTATTTCACACATCACACTCATATCACAGTCACATCACAGGCCGATCCCCACGTTAGTATTGGTCCAGAGTTTGTTAAGGTCAGCGTGGTGTACTTTGACATGACACACAAACATATAACATACACAAAACATATAACACACACAAACATATAACAACACAGAAGGCCTGTACTTTTAACTTTGTTATATTTTTCCATGTCCAATTCCAATTGTCTCATGAGCTATTTCTTATTGTTGCAACTTTCAGAGCCTGCAGAGCTTTAAAAGAGTTTTCCTAAAAGGATCCATTTCCAACTTTAGTGTTTACCACGTGGTCTATACTTCGGGCTTATCACAGATTGTGTCCCCTATATCTCTAATGAGCTCTTGTCACCTAAAAAAAATGTTTATTTTCCTTATTTTTTTCTTTTTCAATAAAGCCAGGTCGGATTCATTAAAAATGTAAATTAGTCTCAAACTTTAATACTTCACCTTTGTTTCACGATAAAAATGTTTTTGTTACTCATTAAGTAGCACAGATAGTGGTGCCTATCTCAATAAACGTACTCCGTTAGCCTATCTTCCCTACACTGCATGAATTTTCAAACTCCAAGTTATTGTCTGGGAACGACCGGAGAGAGCAGCTTAGGTCGTTCGCGTGGTTGACCTCCAAATTTTGTGCGGGGCGTCACTATCCACTTGTTGTGGCTAATAACTTAGCAATCTCAGGGTTTGGTGTCAATTTCCAGTGGTAGTTAACTTTTGGGACCGGTGCCTCCTTTTATTTATCTATTTTTAATTGAGTCTGCACATAAGGTCTCGGCCTAGTAGATTAACCGGGCACAATGGGGAATATAGAAAAGAATGTTTAAGCTGGTTGCCCTGAGAATCAAAACACGTTAGCGGTGACGTAAATTGCTCTTTGGTCGTCTCTCCCCCCGCTGCTAATGAGAATGTGAAGCGGCCACTCATTTTAGGGGAGACAGAAAGGCTGTCACTTTTAGCACAGAATTTGTTGCCCCGGAGTCATCCAGAATTTTAACTTGTACACCACAGGTTGTTAGCGTATATTACGGGCATGAATTATCTCTAAAAAGTGCCAATTGCAATTTGTTGTTGTTCAACTTACATGAGCGGTCGCTTTGGTGACGAATGTGAACCCGGGTTTGGTCAGTCGCTCGTGTTTCCTCCGTGCCCGCCTCTGCCGTCCTCTGGCCCCGTGTTAGCTTGAGCGTTCCTCTGCCTTTAACGCCTCCTCCGGTAACAGTCCTTCGACCCATGTCGAGCACACAGTCTTTCCGCCGGGCTGTGGAAGTTTTGCAAAGTCTGCAGGAGGCCCAGGTAGCCCAGAGCGTTAGCATGTGGTCCATGAGGGTTGGTGAATAACCCAAACGTGCCGGTCACAATGGCTTCTTCTGTTTGCGGTGCGGGAACAACTTTCAAGCGGGTTTCCGCGGGTGCGTTTGGTATATCACGCTGCCCCCTCCGTGGAGAACAGTCACGGGATTTGGAGCAGTTTCTCTCTGTGCTCCAAAGCAGTTGTCGGTGTCTCACATATTTGTTTCCCCCGTTTCTTCTTCTGTGGTTTCCTGAGCGTGTGTCTGTTTCCGCCTCTTCTTCTTCTGCGGTTTGGGCCCACTTCTCGCGGGTCTCAGCTGGTGCGAGCGCCGCCTGTGGTTGGGGCGTGGGGCTGGTGCTTTGAGGCAGAGGACAGAGCGCGGAGGAAAAGCGCCGACAGACCTGGACAGGGAGAGAAAAAAGGGACAACAGTAGTCTGCTCATTTTTTTTTTGAAAACCCAACGCCTTGTTTGGGTGCACACTTATTGTTAGTAGGGGAAAAAGGGCGGTAGGGTGGGGGTGTGTGTGTGTGTGTGTGTGTGTGTCCGCCTGTGTGTTCTCCGCTTCGGTGAAGAGCGGAGGAGCTATTGTTTTTACATATTTCTTTCTCTAACCTCTTTTGCCGTGATATTCTTAAAACCAAGTATATATTTTTTTTTTCTTCCCTTCTTCTTCTAAATTATCACGCAGATGACCTGCACCATAGGCAAACACTTCATAGCTTGCATCTGTAGATTGATTTTACCCATTTTCTCGTACGAACAATGGGCCTAACCCGCTTAGTCTCTCCCTGCTCCTACCCACTTTGGGGCGCTCCGTTCCCCCCCCCGCTGGTTTCAACCAGCGAGCGCGCGTTCTTGAAAACGGAGCGGTTCTGGCTGAAGACACTCAGAGATTCCAGGGTCGCTTACAATGCGATACTAACGCGCAGCCGCTAGTTTCAATCTAGAACAAAAAGCCCCCCAAAAAATCCCGCACACAGACTATGCTGTGGCAATGAATGAAATACCCCAAAAATACATAAATAAACAAATCCCCGTGTACACTTAAGTGCTGCCCTGGGCTCGTTACGCAGATGAAAAGACAAGACTCACCAGATTAGGTTCTTTTTGGTCTTGTGTGGCAAAAGGATTCCTTCCGTGCGCGGGACGAGCGCGCCCTCCTTTGTCTCCAAAAAGGAACAGAGGCTGGTGATCCAGGTCGGCCAAACAAAGCCGCTCGTCCCCGCCGAAAGTATCCATGCCAAGACATGTCAGCAAGCAATTGTTATAGAATACATACCCCCAAGCAAGAGAAAGCCCACAAGTATTTGTCTTAATTCAGAGCGTAAGTTTATATACCACACGTGGCGGAGAGCCAGCACATACACACAAAGTCAGCATGTACCAAGCTCTGATCGCAAGAGCCCCGAGTTTAATGTATACAAGACACACAAAAAAGCCAACCCGCCCACAACAAGAATGCGAGGGGCCACCGGATGCCAGGATGCGCTATGGAGCAAACAGACCTGCATGATTTAGAAAGTGCACACATACAGACCGATAATATGCAAGCGGTAAGGGTGGCAAGAGTGATCGCCATTGTCTGTAGGTGTCGGGGGGACCCGGCTCCTTCCTGAGCAGGGACATATGATAGAAGCAGCATACAGATGCGAGATACGTAAGACACAAGGGTGTGACAGACAGCAGGGTCCCTCACAAAGCTCATCATGGCGTCCGGAAGGTCGTCCATCTGCATTGATAAAAGGCCTTTGACGTCCGTGTATTTGCTGCGGCTGGTTTTTATGACATTAATGTAATTACTCTCGAAAACTGTCACCACATACAGAATATGAAACAGAATGTGTTTTAAAACAGTTGGTTAAAAACAATCCCTCGGCCCATGACCCCTCCTCCTGACACTCAACAGACCCACCCCAAACCACATATATTATTAAGAACGTACACACACTCACACTCGCATTGTGGTCTTGTGCCTCTGTATCAGCACATTCAAACCGCAATATATATGTATTATATTTTGCTTGCTTGTATAGTGAAAATAACAATATTTTATATATATATAAAATATCTATTATATAGATATATTAATATGATTATCTATTTATAGATATAATATATATAATATAAAATATATAGTAATAGTTTATCTATTATATATATATTATATTATATATATATGTATACAGTGCCTTGTCGAAAGTAATCGCCCCCCTTGAGAACCTTTCAACTTTCGCCCATTTTCAGGCTTCAAACATAAGATTATAACAGTATTAATTTTTTTCTCATTAGAATCAACAACATGGGACAGCAATCGAGAAGTGGAATAAAATTTGTTGGATAATTTAAACGGGGTCTCGTTGCCATGACGATAGAAGGTTTTGTGGGGTTCCTCATCACGCTCCTCTGTCAGTACAACTTCCTCCGCAAACCTCCGTAAGAGCAGAGCTTCCTTCTGCATCTCTGTGCTCCATACAGCCACAACTCTGTGTCACTCCTTCACATGGATACGTTTCAGAAAAAGTTTGTGAGGATACATTTCGTACATCAGTTTCTAGATCCCCTGATTAGGATTTGAGCAGTTTTCAAGTGGAACATGAGGCAGGAGCACAAAAACTAAATACCCCAGGTCACAGGTGTGGCACATCAAGGGTGGGGCAGGAACCAAGGACAGGAAGTAAACTAGAAGCAAGGGCAAGTAAAGGTGATTTCAAAATAAAACACAGAACAGGACAATCTGCAGTTTAAGTCATTTTGATTCTTGGCACAGTGGATTAGATTGATGTCGATCCGAATGGCAAATATCACAACTTCATGTCAAGTTCAGAAAAAGGGAAAATGAAAGAAACACCCTCTCTCAGCAAATCAGCTCTCCCTTGTTACATCTGCACTCCTGATGAATTTCTAATCGGATGAAGATTTGTTCACAAAATGTTACTTTTATGAGACTCTTTCTTTGGGGACAAACAAAGTAAAATGTATGAAACGAAACACAGTTAGAACCACTCCTGATAATTATTTTGTTCCACTACATTACAATACCTGGTTTGGTGGCCTTTAGCTGCTGCTGTTAATATAAACTCATAGAAAGTCCAGTCTCAGTCAAGTACAATAAACAAGTTTTTTGTAAAAAGGGAAAAAGAGAGACGCGCCATCGCTCAGCCAATCAGATCTCAACCCCAAACACTTTCACACAAGTACGCAAAAGATGGTGGTTGGATTTGTTCACAAAATGTTACTTTTACAAGACGACGAAACGCGGCATAAACACGGGGTTTGGTGGATTTTAGCTTCAGGTAGAAAGTGCAGTCGTGAGAGGTTTGGTTTCCTTGGCTTTGAACTCTGCTGTATTTGTCTTCAGCCGTGTTCCGGTGAGCGTTCAGCCCATTGACGACGATGACGAAGATGTGGCATGTGAGCGGAGGAGAGTCCTGCGTGGAGACGCGGACCAGGACGTGCTGAAGATACAGAACCTCACCAAGGTCCGAACTCAGACCTCTCTGTACAATGCAGCGTGCTCTATTTCGGCTAAATAATCCAGACTGGAATTACTGCGATAAGAATTGTAATTTATGTTTAAAGATTGGGATTTTGTTTAATGCCCACATTGCGACTGAGGAGCATTGTTGAATATTATCCACAAAAATATGTATTTCAGAACTTCTAACATAGAAATTACAGTACAAAGGAATAGCATATTCTACATACAGTAATACAATGGTTTAAGACAGACAAAACAAAACACATAACACACAGGCCCCAACACTGTCTGACCCTATACCTCTCTTCCACTACTTACTCTCTGCTTGAGGATTCACTCTTTGATTTTATTTTCAAAGGATAATGTTTTTAATTAATCTGATAGATCATTCCAAATAGTATCTCCACGCACTGAGAGACACCTTGATTTTAAAGTAGTCATATGTTTAGACCTTTTTTCTTTCTTTAATTATGGATCGCATCTCTGTCATGGAATAGCTGCAGAGTTTAGATGTCCTGGACACTATTTTATAAGTTTTAAAGTTAATCACATCCGTCAGTTTAAGTTATTTTCATTCTACGAGGAAGTGTGTATATGTCAAGGTCAAGTTTATTTCTATAGCTTTCTTTATTTCTTAAAGTGCTGCACAGTATAATACATCAAATACAAAAAAAAGCTATAGTAAAAACAGATCAACAGATATTACAACAGTGCAACGGCGCTTATTTGCCAAAGGCCAGAGTAAAAAGATGAGTATTTAATGAAGATTTAAAATGGGGATGAGGAAGTCTGGGTGTCTCTGCTTAGACTACTGCGGTGGATTCGAATGATATCTATAGTGGATATTAGTTACAATACTAATGGCCATATTTTAACACAATAATTCAGGTATGACATTATGAACGAACGATACACGAAAAGTACAGAATTGGTGTTCAGTGAGTAGAGCTAGCACAAGTTACACATTCAAACACCAGGAAAATGACGGCTTCTATTTAGAGCCGAGCGGTTCACACAGTATCAAGAGCAGTTGTCAATCCCCAGTGGCCAACACAAACAACAGCCACCTCAGTTTAAGGGAAGAAAAAGGCAGTAAGTCAAAGACACTTTGGTAAGAGTGAAGTTATCAGTCGCAATCTCTCTTTAAAAATGCAGAATATGTTGACGTCTGCAGGTGTACAAGTCTCGTAAAATGGGTCGTATCGTGGCCGTGGACCGCCTCTGTCTCGGCGTCCGTCCCGGCGAATGTTTTGGTCTGCTGGGAGTGAACGGAGCCGGAAAAACCTCCACCTTCAAAATGCTCACAGGAGACGAGAGCACGACCGGAGGAGAGGCCTTCATCAGCGGAAACAGGTCTGGACCACGGTGGACTTGGACAGGACAAGGACTGGGCCGAGACTAATCTGGGTTTTCAACAAAGAACAAAGATAACATCTAAAAACCAGGATTATAGAGAGCACTAACCCAAAATTGGTGACACTAATGAATACTGAGCTAGAGGAGTTTACTCATCAATGTAAGTCAATAAGAGCCAGAGCAAGTTGGAGCAAAACTTACTCCATGAGCACTTTTCTATTAGGCTTCATTGAACTTGCTGTTTAACTAGCTGTGACCAGGATTTAGGGTCTAATCCAGTGTCTCCTACAGTGTGCTGAAGGAGCTGTTGCGTGTTCAGCAGAGTATCGGATACTGTCCTCAGTTCGACGCCCTGTTCGACGACTTGACGGCCAGAGAGCACCTGCAGCTCTACACTCGCCTGCGGGGGGCGCCCTGGAGCGACCAGTCCAGGGTCAGTGATTGTTTTTGACGATGTATCAGGGTTCAGTCATTTACAGTATTATACCTATAGCTCAGTTTCCAATGACATTAGAGGTAACATACATGACTGTTATCCTAACTTCCCCCTTTCTCTTCGACTGGATTGACAAGACATTTTGTACCTACATTTGTGATAGTGCTTTGAACCAGAAAAGCACTTGCAGAGCACAGACCTCTGCCAAAGGGTCATCTAAAAAATCGTGATGATCCAAATTTTCCCATACATTTTTATATACTATATGTTGCTAACTAACTGACTAATCTACAGAGCGAGGCCTCGGTTCTTGCTCTGCAGCCCGTGTACTGGATCTATAGCCCGTCTGTCTGTGGGAGTGGATCCCTGACGTTTCTCACTTTTTCCCTTTAGGTTTAATTTATTTTATTTTTTTTGAGTTTTTCCATGCTGATGCAGGAAGGTGGTGATGATGGTTTTTATCATTGCATTTCTTGTGTTTGAACTAGTGCTGTCCAAAATATCGCGGTATTAACGCGTTAACGCAAATCAATATTAACGGCGTAATTTTTTTTTTTTCTTTTTTTTTTTTTACTTTTTATTGCAGACAAACACATATACAGAAAAAAAAAATAGAAACAAAGAAAAGGACTAGTTCAGATACATTGTAGACAGAGATTACAAACAATATGTAGTTGGAGATACATGGGGGCCAAAGAAGAAACCCAGAAGGGCACATAGGAGGAGGGGGGGGGGTTAAAAAAGGCAATACAAGCAAACAGTATACAGTCATAGATATACCGAAAGTAAACAGAGAAACAGCATAGAGTATTGACATGAACAAATTTACAAAATATTTAGAGATTGTTTATCATCATCATAATGACACCATGATGTTTCTATACAGTCTATGGTATAGACCATAGACTGTATAGAAACATCATAGTGTATGGGTATAGACCCACACATACACACACACACCCACACCCATAAACACACACACTCCACACACATACACCCCACAGATAAGATAAGATATAAAGTCTGCCCGCCTGAGTTTCACCAAGCTAAGCGGAACCCAGCCAACATCAAAACCAAATCCGACACACACACAGACCCCCAAGCAGGCCCCCACCCCAAAAAGGGGGGGAGGGAGCCCACGCCCGGCCCATTCCCTCTTATTTTGTTCCTTTTTCTCAAGTGTTTTTCTTAACTAAACGTGTCATGCATTAAAATAAGCTTTCGCTTACCCTGACTTGTGTATTATCATTATATGCACATATGCACATATTATTCATGTTATTATTATATTTATCTACTTATTCATTCATTTTTTATTTTATTTTATTATTATTATTAATTTTATTTTATTATTTTTATTTTATTTTAATTAATTGTTTGTTTGTTAATTTATTCATTTCAGGCATTTCACATGAGGCAGCAGTCACCTCTTGTTCATCATAGTTTCCAACAAAAAATAAAAATAAGTAAAGCATTGCTAACATGCATGAAAAAATAAATAAATAAATAAATAACAATAAATCAAAATATTTGCCTGAAAGGGAGTAGGAAGAAGAAAACTTATTTAATCCTACCCCCATAATATGTATACAACAAAAATGTGCTTCTTTGCGAGACAGGGCTATCAACAACTTTCGACTTCTGCACTATATTAACACAGAAAAGTTTGAGTATTCACATGGTGGAGTTACCATAGTAACGCATCAGAGTTACATATGACAACAGTAATACAGGACTAGCAATGGTTAGAGACAATACCAGCAATGGTTAGAGACAATACCAGCAATGGTAAGAGACAATACAAGCAATCGTAAGGGACAATACCAGCAATGGTAAGCGACAATACCAGCAATGGTAACAGACAATACCAGCAATGGTAAGAGACAAAACCAGCAATGGTAAGGAATGACAAATACATGACACAAACACAATACAGAAGTAATTCAAGGGACATAAAGAATTGATACAAGTGTGTGACTAATTTGCGATTAATCGCGAGTTAACTATGAAATTCATGCGATTAATCGCGATTAAATATTTTAATCGTTGGACAGCACTAGTTTGAACTATTTGATTCTCTGATTTGTGATGGCCAATTCAACGTTTTTTGTTAAGTCCTCTGAGATAACTATGATTGATTTAGAGCTATAAAAGAATACATTAAATTGAATTAATTAACAAACTCACTCTGATTAGGTCAATAGTTCTGTAGATTTGGATACTGCTACGTCCCTAATGCAGTTGCTCAAAGCCGTTGTAAGTGCGGACATCATGTTGCGTGTGTGTGTAGGTGGTGGAGTGGGCGCTGCAGAAGCTGGATCTGTGTGAATACGCAGACGAGCCGGCCGGGACGTACAGCGGCGGAAACAAACGCAAACTGTCGACCGCCATCGCCCTGATCGGCTTCCCCCCACTCATCTTCCTCGTGAGTTCAACTCCGAAAACGCCGCTGTTTGAACATCGAAGCAAACATCTCCTGTTCTCTCTCTCTCTCTCTCTCTCTCTCAGGACGAGCCCACCACAGGAATGGACCCTAAAGCTCGTCGGTTTCTATGGAACCTCATCCTCGACATCATCAAAACAGGACGCTCCGTGGTGCTGACGTCACACAGGTGAGTCCTGAACAAAAAGTCCACAGGTACACAGAGGACAGTGGTACTCAGGGCTATACAGGACTATATAGGAAACTGTGTGAAAATAGTGTCAAATCTGTGATAACGATATACGCTGCAATGTTTTCCTTCCCCTAAGAAATAACATTTTCATAGGTCATTAGAACTAGTGCTTTTTTTTTTTTTTTTACTTGGTTAACTTGGGGCAACAATACTTTATGCTAAACCACCAAACAATTGAACAGTCGACCAGTCATTAAAGTCAGTTTGAGTCTTTTGAAACAGATCTTTTCAGATTATTTCCCAATGTGAACCAGATTTGGTCCAGTTAAACCAATTAAGTGGCCAATAATTGTGAATGCACCCTTAAAGTCTTCCATTCTGAATTGGGTAACATGACCTCTCCATAGCCTCATGGGGTTTATGAGTTAAAGAGAACCAACCAGTCCATAAACAAGTTTTCCCAAAGCATGAAAACAGTAGATATTAAGAAGATTTAGAGCTGTTGTAACATAGTAAACACATGTATGTATATTTATGTGTCATTGTGTCTTATCAACAAACCCTTGGCCGTACATCTATGTTGTGAATAATAAGCGTGTCTCTATGTCCAGTATGGAAGAGTGTGAGGCCCTCTGCACGCGGCTCGGCATCATGGTCAACGGACGCTTCAAGTGTTTGGGAAGCATCCAGCACCTCAAGAACAGGTCAAGTCCTTGTGTAGTTCTTGGTCTAGACTTGGGCTCTGTCTTCCTTTTAGACTTGTTGTCGGTTCTGTATCCTAACAGAATGGTTTGCTATTCTGAAGTCCTGCCACTTCTGTAATTCAACTTACAATGTGAAACTAATATATAGCCGACTTTTGAGATATAACAAGCCTTCATTTAAAAATCCATTGTAAAAAAACACAGAATTAGCAAACGTCTCACTATTGTTTAAGGGCCAAAAATAACGGATCATATTTCTTTAACTTATTTGAGGACTTGAGGCTGGAGACTTGTTTTTTGGCCATCGTCGTCTGCTTCAAACCCGGTGAATCTGGCCCCTCTTTGGTCTGCAGGTTTGGAGACGGGTATATGATCACAGTGAGGACCAAAGCCAGTAACAATGTGAAGGAAGTGGTTCGCTTCTTCAACAGAAACTTCCCCGAGGCACTGCTCAAGGTAAACGGTTTGACTCTCCTCTGACGATATAAAAATAGCTCTGACTTGTGAAAATTATTAGAGGGGATTGATAGGACCCAGCTGTGCCAGGGTGAAGGGAGGTAACACAAAATTTAAAATGAACAGGGAGGTAAAAGATAAGGTGAGAAAACCAAATGGGTAAAAATACAAAGAACAAGGGGATAACAACAGGTTACAAAACAAGTTCAAACTAACACAGAAACTACCCCAATAAAAGCATCACAAGTGTTACAAAAACCAAAAATAAAGTCTCAACTGAAAAGGAGGCAGACCAAACACAACTAAAGTCCGTGCCAAACCACAGTGACACATCAGACACATAACACAGAACAAGGTGCATGCACACACACGCTCACATACTGTTCACTGTTCACTGTGAACTGAATCACAAATGCAGAGTTCATATTTGTTGGTTTTCAATTTCCAAGTTTCCAACAAAGAAATGTCATTTTACATAAAGGATTTAATACTAATAAATGACAAAAATGGAATCAAAATTTGCTGCACTCTGGTAAACTATAGTTGTATGTTACGGGCATTGATGCATTCAAACCTGGTTGAGTTCTGGTCCTGACATGGTCTCGTTGCAGGAGCGGCACCACACTAAAGTCCAGTTCCAGCTGAAGTCTGAGCGCTTGTCCCTGGCCCAGGTCTTCAGCAAGATGCAGCGCGTTGTGGATCTGCTCGGGATCCAAGACTATTCCGTGAGCCAGACCACACTGGACAATGTGAGTAGTGTGGTCCTCGTGACGCTTTCAAAGGAGTCTCGTTTACCTTAGCTGTTGTAGATAACTTTTCTACCATATAAACTGTATAGGCAAATTTTTGGTAAATGTAATCACGTAACTTTGTGTTTACTTTCACTGCAGCAACTCAAGACCTTTTATTGCCGCAAACTAACAATGTTTCCTGCTTTTGCCTCATGTAATGAAACCAAATAAAACAATGAAAATGAATGCGTCCAAAATGAATAGTTCTGTTTTGCGTTTCAGGTATTTGTGAACTTTGCAAAGCAGCAGAGCGATAACCTTGATAACCAGCAGGAGGTGGCGCCCCCTGCTGCTGGACAGTCTCCTTTGCAGCGGATCCTGAGTCTGTTGAAGTCCCGCTCGGTCCAGACTGAACTGTCAGCTCTGATCAGTGACGCACCGGAGGAGATCAGTGACGACGAGGGGCTCATCAGCTTTGAGGAAGAGCGGGTCAGTCCATGTTCTGGGTCAGACCTGGGTTAGACCTGGGTTAGACCTGGGTTAGACCTGGGTTAGACATGGGTTAGACCTGGGTTAGACCTGGTTGAAAATACAGATAGACTTTAATGCAACAAACTCTGCTCGATTTTGATTTCTGGCTAAGCTCTACCACTGCTCTGATGAGCAGCTCTGATTGGTCAAAGAGCGGCCGAGCCCCTCTGTGCACGTGCATGAGAGCCACACACACGTGGCGCAATGCATCATGGGAGCTCGTCCACTGCACAGAACCGGTAGGACCAGACTATGCCCAAATATGGGGGAGTTCAGCTAATCTCTCCATGGCTGTCCCATGCGCTACTGAGTACAAGCCATAATTTGAATAGGCCGCAATCTTGGATCACCGGGGCTTGGGTTTTCCATACTACGATAGGAGAACTCGCAAATATGGAAAACCTATGGAAAACACAGAGACACTTGACAGTCTGTCCTCTGTTCACCTGCACAAGTTTGGTTTGCTTGATAAAGTGAAAGTAAAGAAAACTTTAGTGTAAATGAGTTTCTTTACACTACAGAGAGAAAACATGTGTCTCACTGTGTCTGGAAGTAACAGACTCATGTTTATATCATGAATATGAGAATGAAAGAGGACGAAACATGCAAAACCAACTTTAAAGCAGCAGTATGTGATAATCTGGCCAAAAGTGGTACTACTACCTCTCACACTCCATTACTCAGGTTGCCTTATATGCAGACAAATCCAGCTGGGTCAGTGGGACCATAATGAAGAGTTTTGTCAACAACAAATCTATAACCAACACGTTTTTCACAAAGGCCTCAATAGAAATCCTGGTTTTATTCCTTGTTTTGTCATTAATGATTTGAGAATCATAACAAGACATCTTCTACTTCTGCGGCCACATGTTACTTTACCAGTGAGATTAGCTCGACGCGGTGAGTTCTGGCAACCCGGATTACAGACTTTCTGATGGTAGAACGGTGGAGGGCTGGACATCGAAATGAAAACAATAACACGATTTAGGGGCTGTAAAACACATTTTTAAATCCAAATATCTCGGTTGAACAACTGTTATCAGTTAAAGAAGTATTTGAAAAGAGCATGTTTTATTTATGCTTTTTGACAGATTAGGGCCATTTAATGATGACTTGACATGAAAATCTTACATAGAACTACTTTAAATAGCATTGTTTTTTATTTGTATTTACACAACGAGTTGATTCATGTTTCAGAGTCATTTAAAGGCAAGCTTAAGTCTACTGCGTGACACACCTACTGCTTTTACTAATTTTGCATATTTTCTTTTGCAAAGTAGATGCAGAAGATTTGGTGGTGCCACACATTTACGTTTTGCTGTGTGCTCCTCATTCATACTGTCTGTAACTTGTGATGCAGCACTGCCATTTCCCCTCTGTAGGACGAATAAAGGATCTCTAATGGTTAACTTTATCCTCTGACACCCGGTAAAGGGGCAGAGCCAGAGCCATACGGTGGGACTGAACACAAAAATGTGGAGACTTCTTTCTTTTATAACATTGTTTTAGTTCAATATTATAATGCTCTACAAATACAAAAAGATACTAGCCTAGCTTAGACCAAACAATATAATGTGGATATTCACTCTGGGAACCATCTCATAGGGGAGGTGTGTTTTACGATTGTCCATAGACGTTTATTGGGGAGTACAAATGTCTATCATAGGCATCTGCTCATAGCAATTCCACCTGATCACATGTGTTGCATGACAGAAATACAACGAGACGTGAAGAAGCGGAATAAGACGATTGCTGTTCACGCAAAGGTGCAGAACGACTACTGCCATTTGTGCAACTTAGACACTTTGCAGAGCTTTGCATTTACTTCTGTCATTTTGGGTTTGCAAACAAACTACGAGCCTCGATCTGTCCAACAGTGTGTCTTAATGTCCCCCTCTGTTCTGTGATTGGTCCCCAAATCCATGCAATATTTTTGGCTAGGGTTTCCAGGCAGTTGTGCAGTTCGAAATGATTCGAGCGCACACAAAGTGTATCACTTTACAATCACTACACAAGATTTTTACTTCAAGGCAACACCATTTATTAGGTTGTATAATGCTGTTCAGATTTTCTGTGCAGTAAACACAGCGGGTGGTTGTTTATTTTTTCTCTTTTTCACAGGTGCAGTTGTCCTTTAACACAGACACTTTGTGCTGAGGAAAAGTCCCCGTCCCGCTGACTTCACAGCTGCTCTCAGGACACACGTTAAACTCTGGTGTCAATAATTCACCCAGACCAACAGATAATGACCAAAATTATGCTTAAAAAATGTGTACTATTTACAAAGGTACTAATACTAAAAATACTTGTCGAATGATGTCAAAGACCAGACGAATGTACAGGAAGAAAGATTAATTTCTCTGTGAAAAAACACTAGATTTGTATTTAAATTATGGCGGGGAAACCACTGTGTTCAATTCCTCACGTCATATTTATATTTACATGATACAAAATAAATGAATGCATAATTGATTTCAGGCTCTTCCATCCAGTAACGCTCTCCTCTCAGTCTCCCCATTTGTTGTAAGTAAGCTTTAAGTAAGTTGTGACTTATTTACCGTTTCATCACAATTTGACGTGAGGAATGAGACGCTGCTATTTAGTACATTTTATTGAACAGAATCCAGGTCCTTATTTAAATGAACAAAATTGGATACATCTGTCACAGTTTTAAAGAATGTATAGTTTTTAATGTGGTTCTCAAATGTAATAATGATTTAAATACAGATAACTAAAAACGACAGGTTTAGTGGATCCTTTAGTGTGGACCAGCCTCTGAGTATCCAGCAGGAGTATCCACTAGGAGTATCCACTAGGAGTATCCACTAGGAGTATCCACTAGGAGTATCCACTAGGAGTATCCAGCAGGAGTATCCAGCAGGAGTATCCAGCAGGAGTATCCAGCAGGAGTATCCAGCAGGAGTGTCCAGCAGGAGTATCCAGCAGGAGTGTCCAGCAGGAGTGTCCAGCAGGAGTGTCCAGCAGGAGTGTCCAGCAGGAGTGTCCAGCAGGAGTGTCCAGCAGGAGTGTCCAGCAGGAGTATCCAGCAGGAGTATCCAGCAGGAGTATCCAGCAGGAGTATCCAGCAGGAGTATCCAGCAGGAGTATCCAGCAGGAGTATCCAGAATCTGTTTGATAGCAGCGCTGTCCTGTGAGACAGCAGATCATGCACTCGATGATAAAGCCACAATAAATCAGACTTTTTAATAAATCACATTAGTTTAACAGCCCAAAACAAATACATATAAGGGTTGTTTTCTTTACAGAGAAATAATATTTTTTGATATTTAATAATAATTATGAGACAGTTCTTCACTGTGAGAATAACTGATACCGTAAATACTGAAGACTCAGTCTTATCAACACTAAAGAAAAACCAACCAGGACTTGACTAATCCGGGACTGTCAGTACCCTGGGCCTTATTTTGGTCTAAACTTGTACAGATTATGTAAAATGTAATATTTTTCAAATAAAGTGACTGCTGTTTTAAACACATTGGACTCTGAAATTTACTGTGAATGCACTTGTTTTTACTTTCGGCACGGTGGCTGAGTGGATAGCACCCTCGCTTCTCAGCCAGAAGGTCCTGGGTCCCGGTCGGAACAGGGCCCTTATGAGTGGAGTTTGCATGTTCTCCCTGTGTCTGCGTAGGTTTCCTCCGGGTGCTCCGGTTTCCCCTACCACTAAAACACGCACAATAGGTATGAATGTAAATGAGTAAGTGAATGGATGGTGTTGATTGGAGGCTTTGATGCGCTAGTGTGTTTGGCGACTCGCTTCTGTCATCACCGTGTGGAGAATGATTGGAACAATATCTGAACTCTGAACATTGTAAAGTGCTTTGGGTGACCTTGGTCTGTAAAATGCGCTATATAAATAATCATTACTTACTTACTTTCTGTTTCTCAAAGGAGAATACAGACTATTGTTGACTATCATTTCCCAGAAATAATTTGCTAATTATTTGTATATGTCCCTGGGGTTATACACAAAGTAAAATTCCGGTCGGTTTTACATAAGTCCTGAGGAGAAAGTTCAACTGGATCTGTTGGTCACGGATCTTTGGATGAGCAGAGTATAAAATGGCTACCAGTCAAAATCAACAGGAGACTTACTCCTACTGGACTCAGACTTAAATTTTGATAGCCACATTAAATCAGTAACATCAGCAGCTTTCTAAAAAACATTGCTAGGATCAAAAACATAGTGTCTAAAGCAGACCTGGAGATTCTTATCCATGCATTTGTCTCCAGTAGGTTAGACTACTGCAATGGCCTGCTCACAGGTCTGTCCAAACAGGCTGTAAAACAGCTGCAGTACATTCAAAATGCAGCAGCTCGAGTCCTGACTAGAACCAGGAAGTACGACCACATTAGTCCAGTCCTCAGGTCTCCGCACTGGCTTCCTGTGGCTCAGAGAATAGACTTTAAAACAGCTCTGCTTGTGTACAAATCTCTCCATGGCCTAGCACCAAAATATATTAGTGACATGTTAGTCCCATATGAACCAGCCCGGACTCTGAGGAGCACAGGGACTGGACTCCTGTTAGTGCCCAGAGTCAGGACTAAACATGGGGAGGCTGCTTTTCAGATTCATGTTGCTAAAATCTGGAATAATCTTCCTGAAGATGTGAGACAGGCCTCCTCTCTGACAATGTTTAAAACCAGGTTAAAAACGGTTCTGTTTAACTGTGCATACAACTGAGGGATTTTATATTTTTATCTTTCTTTGTGATTATTTATGATTTTAATGCTTTCTTTTTTTGTTCAGCACTTTGAGTTGCCTTGTGTATGAATTGGCTATACAAATAAACTTGCCTTGCCTTGACTTGGAAAACAAGCCCTCCATCTTTGATCCAATGCTGTGAAGTAAACAAGTGCTCTCCGATAAGTTTTATGTCTGATGAAAGGTGCATCTCACATCTCAGTATTTCAATATCTCTGTATACTTTTTGATTAAGATTTGCAATTCAAATGTTATCTACCTGTGCCTGAGGCTAAACTGATAAAACAGCAGGACAGGACTCTGATCTTCTACATGGAATAATAAAAAGTGTAATAAAAAAGTAAGTAATAAAAAGTAAACCACGGAATTGTAAGCCCAAAATGGTGAGTGTGACACAATCAGTGATTGAGAGAGTTGGAGCAAAACTTTGTCCTTGAGCACTTTCCTATTGTAAGTAAGAAATCTTTATTTATATACCACCTTTCACAGACCAGATTCGCAAAGCAGTTTACAATTGTCTCTCACTCCACACAAACTTGGGAGGGGTCACCAGTACAGGAGGTGCATGCTAGACCTATTGTACATGTTTTTGGTTGTAGGGGAAACCTATGCAGACATGGGAGAACATGCAAACTCCACTCAGAAAGGCTCTGTTCCGACCGGGATTCGAGCCCATGACCTTCATGCTGAGAAGCGAGAGTGCTATCCCAGTTGGTCTGCATTGAGCTGGGATTACACAAGTTGACAGCCAAAAAATGGTCAGGAGTTTCTCAACTGATTTAGACTAATTTTGGTGTTCTGAGTCCGAATATCACATGCATTTTGCTCTATCAGGTAAACTTGAGATACAGCCATAGTGTTACGGATTATGTACGTCTACGTTATTATGAATTCTGCTTATCAAATTTGATGGAGTAAATAAAAACTGAATGACTTTGGATACGTTGACTTTTATTTCTTGAGGAAAACGGAAAAAACGTCAAGGGTTTCTCAGCTGATGATCCGCAGAAATTTGTTTTTTACGCAAAATCGATTAAAAAAAATATTTCTGTAGCAAAAAATCCTGACCTGATTGAGCAAAACCAAGGTCATTTTCGGACTCAGAGCATCAAAATTAGTCTAATTCAGCTGGAAAACCCTGGACTATTTTCAAAAAATATTTTTTTGTTACCCAGTGTTATTGTCCATCTTTTACAAGGACTTTTAACCTTTTTGCCTTTTTATTGATCACATCCCCTCAACATACAAACAGTTGTGTATTTACTTTTTTTTGGCACTTCAACAGAGACCAACGAGACAAGATCAGAACAGGATCGATCTGTTCTGTCAGGGTGGGGTTTGGATGAGTTTTTCCCCAGTGCAATCAGAATAGCACAAAGGCGTGGTTTTATCTGTGAAGGAGGAAATAGCATTTATAGGAAAGTGCAACCAGTGAACACTTTATACTTGTTGGTTGATGCACTAGAGCATAAAACAACAAATATTGGCATTTCTCCTCAATATGGCAGTAGGTGACATTTTGTTTAACCTTTGTGTTGTGTATTGTGTGACCTGCTAATATGATGGATTGTGTTGCTCTTCAACTGTTTCTTTGTATTGTGATTTCTTTTGTCTTGTTCTTGTATTGAATGAGTTATAACTTCTGTCTACCTTAAACATAGATTCCTTAAAATGCAAGTCTCAAAAACCAGCTGCCAAACGTTGCTACATAATTGACAAAAAGACATCTGTATGGTTTTAGCACAGCACAAGGGAAACATGTATATAAAGCCAGAAGGATTTCTTTTTTATGCTCACATGCAAAGACGATAAATGATAATTGATTTTTTTTAATCTTCCACATTGTTCTGTTGTGTTGTTCTGTACAATTGTGTTGTTTTGAAATCAAATGTTTAGGGATACACATTACAGACATAATAGAGACAGTGCATTCATTCATTCTGGGGAGAAAACCTAAATAAACCATTCTGATTAATAGTCTTAATTTCCAAACACAGTTGGGTCATCCTGGAGATTACAAGATTCCACACTGTGGACTATGGAGGACCAAAACTGTCAAAATAATACATACATTGATAACTAAATAAATGTCTCAATCTGCAATTATTTAACTCTACAAATAATGAGATGTAATGAATATATATAGATATTATACAAAGTTTTTTGTTTTAAATGAACATTTTATTATTATTTACTGCAGTTTTTTGCCCAAATAAATACCCAATCCTCTTTTTTAACTTTCTGCATGTATTTATTTGCAGACTGAATCTCGCCAGACCCTTGTAGTTCGCCTCTGGTGGAGCATAGCGGAACTACAAGGGTATGTCGAGAGTCAGGCTAGGAGAAGTGCCCATCATAGAAGTCTGAAGCTGCATTTGATTCAGAACAGGGCTAGGACCAAGCTCACCCTGCATACCACGAACTGCTCTCG